CAAAGAAATTTTGTTAATCCGACTTTTTGAAGTGCCTAAGGTTAGTAGAAATGGGAATCACGACACCCTCGGGACAAAGGAGCGGTCCTATTGGCCAGTTCTGGATGCAAGTTCGACACGGTTAGGATGGGAGGCCAAAGTTAGGCGGGTCTGTCTGGCAGGCATCATGGAAGAGAGCTTTAAGAAGCAAAGCTCGTTGGTGTAGAGGTAGAAGAGAGCTAGGTCGCCTACGACCCGCCGGTGTGAAAGGGTCCCGAGACTGCCTGTTAGGAGGATTCATCGATCAGTCGGACAGCCCTCCGCTGAACAGCATCGAGCATAAATAATGGAGTCGAGGCGGCAGAACCACAAACGTGAGAGTAATACTCGAGGCTAGGTCTTATCTGGGCCTTGTATAGAGTGAGAAGGTCATACTAGCCTAACTTCTTCCCAGCAGCTACCGCTATTGAAAAGATGTGGTCGTGCCAGATCAAGTTCTCTGTGATCTGGACGATGAACGGCCCTTTGGCAGAACCCGGCCATCTATCGAAACCGGATGAGCGCTAGGACGCTTTTTGTTCGTCACTCGTTTTGGAAGCATTAATTGTATGAGATTATGGCTACCACCAGACCTTGATGGTGGACTTACATCTTTCTATGTAAAAGTGATATATTTACATTTATATTATTTCAAGTTTCTTTCTAAGGGGATTTCCCTAAATCGATTTATTTAAATAGGACCAATTCTAACAAATGCATAAACCTGCTAAAATAAATCGTTCATATCTAACATACAATGTCTTATCATACTTTTCACGGGTGCTTGCATTATTCATTGCTTTCGAGAAATTTTTTTCTTTAATCGACACGTATTTAAATATCGGAAAAAATATTGCGACGTTCTACCAGAATCGTAAGCGCAAATGTAGGGCAACTTTATTGTTAAAATATATGTCTATAGATTCATCACACTGCGGGGTTAGAAGCGTACAAATAACCCCCCCCCACTCCTGAAAAACCAATTAACGCGTTTAGATGGCCAGGGACGGACTAGCCCCAACACAATATTGCAAACATTATACAGGGTTACAGGAAAAGTCGTGCTAGATCCGTTAAGGGCGTGTAGTACCCATCATTCTGACTTATTTCATTATGAAACACCCTACCCTAAACTTAACCCTTTTCGAGATATTCAAATTTTAATGTTTTTATTGAAAATTGCTGATTTTTTAGGCTACTAAATGTATTTATTTTTTATTTTGTGTGTGTTATTATTACTATGTGTTACTATTATTGCATTTTAACATGTGTAATAAGATGCTTTAGGACGTCAATCATTAAAATAGTCCATAAGTTAATTGAATAGGCCGTAGTAGATAAGTGAATGTTAAGAAATTGAAAAAAATATCAGAAAGTTTATTTTCTCGAAGGGATATCTAAAAAAAATATTATGGCAATTGTTCGGCAGATGTGTTTTAAAATATCTATGTTTTATCAGCTATCTAACGAGGTATAACAATCTAGGATTTGTATTACATTTCGTAGAAAAAAAGTAGCTGGGACGCTCCAGTAGCAGTTCCCACGCCTATTCTCCTTCAAGTTTAGACGCACCGTGCGAGCGAGACATGACGATTTAATGTGGGTGCGAATGAAAGAAAACATATTATAATAACCGGTTAGGGCTGGGAATCCAACACGGGATGTTGTTTTGGTTGTCAGTCTGCTTTTGTGCTTCGTACATAGTAGATGTGATATCGTTTTGCTCTTTTCCTCGACTTGGCTACGATTCTGGACTATTTCTTCTGATTTGTGAATACTGTGCTTGTTCACTGGACTCTGATTTGTACTTGTGATACGGAAGTGTTGAAGATGACGTCCTACACACCTGAGGAATATGCTGATATGCTTATTTGTTACGGATACTGCGATTGTGTATCTGCGCAAGCTCGCAACGAATACAGAACTCGCTTCCCCGGTCGTCGAGTGCCGGATGTGGCCGTTTTTAACAGAGTTTATCTAAGACTTCGAGAAACTGGCTCTGTTTTGAGACGAAATACAGACCTGGGAAGACCACGAATTTATGACAACGAAGAACTGCAGGACAATGAGATAGTGCAACGCTTTCGAGCGGATCCGACCATTTCCACTAATCGTGTTGCCCGTGATCTGGGACTTTCGCAATGGAGAGTGTGGTTTACAGTGCATACTGCTGGCCTATACCCGTACCATTACACGCCGGTACACACTATTGAAGAAGGAGACCCCGCGAGAAGGTTGGACTTCAGCAGATTTATGCTAAATGCTGACGTAGAAGACCCAGATTTTCTAAGAAATATCTTATGGACAGATGAATCCAAATTTGATAACGATGGCATAACTAACTATCACAACGCCCATTACTGGGCCATAAAAGTACTAAGGAATCCCAATAAGAAAAGAGTGGCGAGGTCCCAACGAAGATTCAGCGTGAATGTGTGGATGGCATTATCTCCAACCATTTAATTGGACCTTACTTTCTCCCGGACAATTTAATGGGGAAAATTACGAAAACTTCTTGAGAGGAGACTTCAGAGATTTGCTGGATGATCTGCCACTCAACTTGAGAAGGGACATGTGGTTCCAACATGATGGCTGCCCTGCCCATTTCAGGAGAAGTGTCAGAGACTGGCTGGACACAAATTATCCAAACAAATGGATAGGACGAGGTGGGCCGTTGCCATGGCCAGCAAGAAGTCCGGACCTAACCCCCATGGATTTTCATGTGTGGGGGTGCATGAAAAGTCTTGTCTACAGCGAGCCAAATCCAGTTTCGTCTGTGGAAGAATTAAGAGAAAGGATTGTCGATGCAGCAAATCAACTAAGGACAACGTTGACCACTGCAGTTGTAAAGACTGGTCTCCGTAGAAGGATGCGACAATGTATTAGAAACAGAGGCAGCCATGTTGAACATGAACTGTAGAGTAAGAAAAAGTTGTGTGAAAACCTGATTTAATAAATGATATTTCATGCTTACCTATTGTTTTATTTTACTTTTTAGGGCTAAGTATCAATTTTCTTCTCCACTGTCGCCTATGAAACTAAGTTTTTTCAATGCATTTAAATAAAATCCTAGATTGTTATACCTCGTTAGATAGCTGATAAAACATAGATATTTTAAAACACATCTGCCGAACAATTGCCATAATATTTTTTTAGATATCCCTTAGAGAAAATAAACTTTCTGATATTTTTTTCAATTTCTTAACATTCACTTATCTACTACAGCCTATTCAATTAACTTATGGACTATTTTAATGATTGACGTCCTAAAGCATCTTATTACACATGTTAAAATGCAATAATAGTAATAATAACACACACAAAATAAAAATAAATACATTTAGTAGCCTAAAAATCGGCAATTTTCAATAAAAACATTAAAAGTTGAATATCTCGAAAAGGGTTAAGTTTAGGGTAGGGTGTTTCATAATGAAATAAGTCAGAAATGATGGGTACTACACGCCCTTAACGGATCTAGCACGACTTTTCCTGTAACCCTGTATGAGAAGCAGACTTTCTAATCGCATTTTATCCATATTTTAACTTTTCTGCTTAAAGGTGGCGTTCGATTCATGGCACTGCTTACTATAAGATTCTAAACTAAAAGACACTCCAATTGCAGTATTTTCAGTCGATATTTGACTTCCAATAATATCTTAGACAAACTAAACGGACTTTGTCCGATGGCAAGAGACAATCAAATAACAATATAACGGACAATGTCAATGTCTGTCCGTCAATGCTATCTGCAGTACAATGGTATTAGCTGTCAAAGGAGAATGCTGTTATGTAGTGATAGCGCAAAAGATATTATTCTGTGATTAAGTTAGAACATGAGCTCCAGTGTTTATACTTGGCTCGAGCATGAAGCAGGAAGGTGTTGTGGAAATAAGCTCCGCTTTAGTTGACTTCCTAAAAAATACTGATTTTGATCCGAATGTTGAACATCTAAGATTATTTTCAGATGGATGTGGGGGTCTAAAAATTCACATAAATGGTGCTCGCACTGATGTGGCTGTTTAATGATGCTGCAGCATCTATTGAAACAATTACAATTAGACTTCCCGCTCGTGGCCACTCATTTATGCCTGCTGATCGAGTTGGACAGGAATTGCAGTCTCATGCTTTTATAAAGATACCAGAAAAATATGAAATTCACTCGAAAAGGGAACATGTCCGAAAACTTGGCTCTGATTGGACCCTTCACAATATTAAAAATGCGACTGGTTCACTTGAAAGAATTGCAGGAATTTCCGAGGCCAAAAGAATAATCATAAAAACACAATAATAGTGGTGAAGATAAAATCTTGTATCAGACCGAACTTTTATACAGAAATGATGGTCCCTCAAAGATATTTGCGAGTTTATTTGAATTGAAGAAAAAACTAAGTCCGAATTACCACTCAAGCATGCTCTTAAGAAAAAACTGGATAGTTTATCTGCATTTTAAAGTTTATTAGGCCAAGAGTGGGTAAGAGATCCAGAGCTTGACCCAATTGTAAAAGATTAGTATGGGGACATGGTGACAACGAAAGAAAGGAGCAAAGCCCACAGTGAAGATGATGAAGAATGTTGCTGCCTGGCGAAAGACGACTAACATGTAATATAATTCAAAGAGAACTGTTTGCTTTAGAATTCTATGTTTGAAATCATTTGGTGTTCATTTATGGCAAACAGACTGGCTTTTTTTTATTCAAAGTAAGAATTTTTTTAGTAAACTATTAATATTTGCTTAGCCTTGTTACTATAGCAAGCTGTTGATATTAAATTACGTTTTTTCATGTGTTACTCGTTTTCCAAATGTTAGCAATAAGCTCGCGACACTTTTTCCCCTTTCCTGTAAAAAGTCCAAAATGGACAGTGTGCGATTAGAAAGTCTGCTCCTCATATTTTATAAAGCCAAACTACTTTCTCGAAAAAACGCAATTCTGATTCGATGAAATTAACGAACTTCTTTGGAATAACTATGGAAAAGGGATAAGACATGTTTGTATGCGACCAGACGCTAAGAAAATATATCACCGACACATCTAAAGCAACGTCTAGTTGACTTAGCAACCCGGCCCTTATCGTTTTGATTAACGAGAATACCGTCAATCACAAGCCACCAGTTGATGTTACACATGTCTGAGGATCCCTGTTAAGGAAGGGTCACGAATTAGTCAGATTATCCTCCTACCTCCTATGATCAGTTGCTCTCCCACAAGAGCATCCTAGCACCAGCTACTACAATCTACAAGACGCATTTATGTCGAATGTTGTCCTTGGTAACCTCAACTCCCAAAGACAACGAATGATCGCATTCATCGGAACTTTTATATGGAAAGTGGGGTAGGGGAAAGCTTACTGAAAAAAAAATAAGCACAAATGGTTCAATTGTATATTATATATCAAACAAACTCTTTCAACTGCACAGAAATACCTTCAGTTACCTTTCCATCATTCCAGCTAACATTTACAAAATTTAAATGTTTCGTTTGCCCATGTTCAAAAACTGCCTAACAGTTGAATAGTTGTTTCCATTTAAAAGATTTTTCGTTCATTTTTAATGAATTACAAGGAAAGAGTGATATTGTATTCATGGTGATTTCAGAATAAACATCAAGACAACAGCATTAAGCGATTATATCTTCTGAAAATTGCTCAATAAAAATTAAAAGTATATAATGAATAATTACGTTCACAGGAGCAATATTGTCCCAAGTTTTCCAAAATCACGACAACTATTTCTAATTAAGAATAATAAAGAGGCATTAATGAAACTATTAGCACCGTGTGAAAAGAAACTGTTGAAAATATAGGAAGTATCTTTCTTGTGAAACTGTACAATTTCGTATACAGGAATATTTGAATGTTAAGCCTTATTTCACCTTCTGAACACAAATAGCTTAGTAAACAATTTGACAGATAAAAAGGGAGCCAGCGGGATTCGAACTCGCATCTCCTTCATTCCGACCTAATCGGTTAGTCTGCTGCAGCTGCTAGAGGCAAATTAAATAATACCCACGCCACTGTTCCTTCAAGCTGCTTGATGCCCCATCTGGCGTCGTTCAACTGAAACAAACCGGATTGGTAAGGTATCTCCAATCGCTTTCTAGTTGCAGCATGCCGCCTCGTGCGTATACACCATGATCCCACCGTGCAAGGGCAGTAACCTTTATACGATTTTTCGAATGAGCGCATCCGCAAAGCGTGTATGTTTAGTAAACAACTTGAGAAATAGGAAAATGGGCGCCATTGGGATTTTCCTATCTATTAAGTTGTTGTTTACTAAACATACTCGCTGTTATGGGTGCCCTCAACCGAAAAATCATATACAGGTTACTGCCCTCACATGGTGGTACTGTGGTGTGTGTCCACAAAACACTAGAAAGCGATTGGAGATACCTCACCAATCCGATTTGCATCACTTGAACCAGTTTGAAAACCAAAGCAACAGTGGCGTGGTTAGGATTACATTTGCATTTAACAGTAGATTCTGAAAGTTGGTTGGAAGCTGGAGCTGTAGACTAATTGGCTAGGTTGGCTCCACGGAATGGAAATGCGGGTTCGACTCCCGCCAGGGCCCATTTTCTTTGCTCTAAAGTTGTTTACTGAACATACTCTGTTGCGGATGCATCCGAAAAATCGTATACAGATAACTATCTGCTGAAATATCTCATTAGGATTACAGGGTGTAAAGCTGAAAGTCCTGATAAGAAAGACAATATATCTAATTGTAGCTTATCTGCAAATTTTTCCAACTGCCATGTCGGCTCAGAAATATGTTTGCGACTACCTTTGCCAAAGTACAGGAATAGTTACCGTCACTACATTTTCGGAAGTTTCATTTCACCAAGCAATAATTCAATGTTCCACTATGATTGCCTCTCCTCCAACTATAATTTCTCTTTAATAATATTGGATGGCCTTTCACCTTGAGAGCCAATACACATATACATCAGAAATAACAATGTTAAATACCTTCAATATAGTGAATTAGAATAAAAGAAAATAAGGAAAACATGTTTACGTGCTACATTTCCAAATATCTCTAAATATGTTTAAGCATTAGATTATACTATTATATAAGATTATTTAATGGTTATTTAAATAAGAGGGTTCTCATTTGAATACGTTACAGTTCAAAAATATTAAACAGGGCGAAAAGAAATATTTAAACCCTCCCAAAAGCAAAGAGAAATACATTCGCTTATAAACTAAAAAAATAAGCTTCCTTAAAACAAAAATTGGAAGAAAAAATACATGCGAATGTTGACAGATTACCACCAAAAAAATGACAAAGCAACAATTTGACAACATAAAAGATTATACATTGTATGAACAAACAACTACAATTTCAACCATTTGAGGAAGAAACTGCTATTTCTACCCGTGGTGAGCTAAGTTCATTTGTAATTCTTGGACTACGTGTAAGATACGGCAATAAACAGCTACTTAAAATTATGAAAATTTGTTTTCGTAATATTTTTTGTTTTGATCAGTATGTGATACCATATGCTTATAAATTATAAATTCATTTGATACTTTTTCTTTAAAGTTGAAGTTTGGTGGACAAACGTTCCGTTAAGACATATCCATAAAGTTCAGTGGACTTCAAAGCTATATTGTCTCCTATGAGCAATAGCGCAAATCTGAACATTTACAATTTGTTGGTTTCGATTTAAATCTGTACTTTTTCTATTAACTTCCTGACACCTGATGTCAGCGAAATTACATGACCCTTAATAAAAAAGATTCAGATTATGTACCAAGGTTAAGGATATTTACACAATGTGTATTTTTCAAATTGGGCATTATTTTTTGCACTGAATAGTACATGAATAATTGCACTACAGTGAAGACATATGCTGTGAATACCTGGCAGTACCATAAATCAATATGTGGATTTTCTAACACCAATTTCTAACATTCGCAACAGCAAAAATTACTGCAATAAAATTTACAAATACAAATGTACCTTGCATTTGATTAAATTGATAAGAACCATTAAAGAATACTTTGAAAACAAATTGAAATTAAAGGCGCCGCTTTAAAAGAACAAGTTGCAGCGCAAATAATTGCAGCACTGCCAGAAGTGGCCTCAAACGACAAGTGTCGCTTTGCGCTTTCAACGCACAGACGGTTATTTTAAAAAAATGTTTAGCAAGAATGTTTAAATGATGCTAAAAAAACCTTTACTTAACAGACACGCCAATTGTACAAATGTCCACTAATTTGATTCACGGTACTTCTAGGAAGACGGCATTACGATTACAAAAAGGCAAGTTGGCTGATTCGGTTTACTGAGTGAAGATTTGGAAATATTACATCGAAAGATCTTCGAATGTATATATTATATAGCGAACCATCCTATAACCATCTTTATCTTCCGCGATGCGAAAACACATCGCTCTCAATCATCACCATCAACAGATCTCTAACGACTTTATTTTTATAAATACCATAAATATGATCACAGCAGCGCTCATAGCGCCCTCTTTTCAGTCATAATATAATTATAACAGTTGTAACAAACATAGAAAAATATACAATATGCTCTCAAACAATCAGTCAGCTGAACACAGCTACATGAAGCAGTGTCGATCCGTCCGACCCTGTAGTAAACCTAACCTAAAGGGGAGCATACTTTCATTTCCGGCACCAACACTGCTTTTCTAGTTCAGTAAAACCAGATACAGTTCACCAAATACTGAAGAAAATCCCAAAGGCTGTCATATTATCCAGTAAAGAAGTGTGACTTAAATATAGCTTTCAGCAAAATTGGTTCTTAGTTTATATGACAAATTGATACTATGGATGGTAAACAGGGCTCAACGGCTTGGTTAAAAAAACATGACTGTTTAGCAGCAATGCCGTTTTCTACCAAAAAGCAAAGAGCACATCCCTAAGCTTCAGTTTTTTAATAGAAAAAAAAAACAGTTCCTCAACCCATGAATTTCAACAGTGGGTATAAGTCGAACGTGTGCTGGCATATTTCACGCATAATACCTTTTCTAAAAGTAACAGCTATGGGAATCTCCTCCAGTACATCTATAATCTACTGAACTATTTTGGGATTATCGTTGTCGAGCTAACGAGAGATAAAAATCGGTCACTAGCTAGCACGTCTTGTATATATTCTTGGGGGCTGGTCGAAAAGTACTTGCACTTATCACCACTCACGTCTTTGACCGCCCCCGAATCATTTCATATATCGTCTCATTTGGAAGCGGATGGAAATTAGTCAAGTTGAAGCAACAACTGTGGAAATTACATACAAAATATTGTGATTAATATTTTGTGGATCCAAAAGATACGTTTATTCATAAAATATTAGCTATAGCTATGTGAATAGTGTATCTAAAACACAACAGATATTGGTAATATGTAGGTAACTACATAACTGACAAATGCTGTAGACTATTCAGAGAATTTAGCTGCATTTGCAGTTTATTTATAGTGAATCAAATGTCAAACAGCTCCTACTCAAAGATGCATCTAGTTATTTTTTTCTCTTAACTGTTTCTTTGGCGAATATCCATGTATTCAACTCCTGTTAAAGGTACTGGCCAATTCACATGGAAAACCTCTTGAAAAATGTAGAAATTTATGGAATTCTCCACGAGAAAAGTGCACCATAAAGAGTTGTACTGAGAATCTGTACTTAGCTGACATGCGCCTGCACAATGTCACCCCAGTCATAATCATAAGAGCCTAACTAATCACATTGATTCTTTCATCAAGATTTATATATCGACTCTTGTCTTTATAACTGTGATTGTGATGTTAAAATGTTGCAGTAACATAAACTGCGGTCAAACAAGTCTCGACAAGATATGGTTTGTATTTTCTATGTGGTTCTGTTTAAATCTGAAGTTTACATTATCTTAGTAAATGAAAAATATAAAATGTGCGACAAACAAATTGCGTAGGGGCTGTAGAGTGGACAGCCAAGAGTACTATAATACATTAAGCTGGCCCAGCATGCAAACAGTATGTGTGTGTGATTTGAATCAAAACTGCACATGGGAGATGTCTGAAAACGACATTTTCTAAAATCTAATTGCAAAACTAACTTCAATCCGCTCCTCATTACCTCATGTATATACAGATTACAGAAATCCCTAACATAAACTAAAGTAAGTTTGCACTGAACGTCTTGCACACATCACTAATATATACGCATACAACTCAGTGATATGCGTCCTAATACTTGACTGGAATTTATCTTTTTCTCATTGACCGCTTAGTTGGACGCCGCGGCCGTTTCGGTAACGTGGCAAGGAGCATCCCCTTGGCCCTTATGCTCTACGGGTTTGATGCAGTCTTCTTTCTTGCCTCCCTCCTTCTTGCCGCTGGTGCTTGTGGAGCCATCCTCTGAGATAATCACGTCATTCACTGGCACGTCTCTGAAAAATCAGTCAATTATTTGAGATTGGTAGTACAAGGTTAAACGTCTTATCAGCAAACTCCCGAATTCCAGCCGTCAATAGGCACACAAACTTCCAATACATGGCTACTGTCATTGTCTGACCCAAATCGCTGAGACATTTATCAAAGTATCATGAACTGCCTCTATGACCAGAATCGACACTTCGTCAGTGAACATCAGCTATATAAAGGGTGTCCGGTGGCAGAATTCGGATTTAAAAATTAAATAAACCAAAAAAAAAAACTACAAAAAGTAAACATTTATTTCAATAATTATTATAAATCAGAATACTGCCGGTTTTATTTCTTAAAAATCATGTTATCTAAATGTCGACCATTACATCGGGCACACTCTTGAAATCTCGCCTCAGTATTTCGTGCCACTTGGTGCAGAAGTGGTTGTGGGATAGCATTAACCTCGCGGACCATATTTTCTTTAAAAGCTAAGATGGTCGCTGGATTTGTTCCATAGACTTTAGTTTTCAGATCCCCCACAGAAAAGTCCATGGTGGTAAGATCGGGTGACCTAGGTGGCCAGCTTATGTCACCAAAACGACTTATCAGTTTGTTAGGGAATAAATCTCGAAGATGCTCCATGGTATCTCTAACAGTGTGATGTGTGGTGCCATCTTGTTGAAACCATGTATGCTAACTAAATGCAGGATGTTCTCTTAATAATGGCAGAAAATAATCGTTCAACATGTGCCGATAAGAAACACCATTCACACTTATTGCTTGCCCTCAACAATTGTCGAAAAAATAGGGCCCGATTATTCCATTACCGGATAAAAACCGTTACTTTGGGACTGTGAAGTGGCTGCTGATGCTTCAAACGTAGGTTCTGACCTTTAGGCGACCAATAACAGCAATTTTACTTATTTACGCATCTACTTAAATGAAAGTGGGCTTCGCCACTCCAAAAGACGGTGTTTACTGTACGAAATCGCTGTAACGTCTCACGGATATTTTTAGGAAATTCGTAATCATTAGGCTGCAAATCTGAATTTTAAAAGTGTGCAGTTCAAGATACTTCATTATTTCGTGCACAATGGTCTTTGGGAGCCCTAGGGCAGCCGCTCTCTTGCGCACTGAGTGACACAGCTGTTCGCGGCTAGGCTCCGGCCATGGGTTATTTGCTGATGATCCTGTTGCTCGAACAAACCAGTTCTTCACTTGGAGCATAATGTTTTCGTCGAATATTGTACCGTGAAGAAAATTGTCGACGTGCAATTGCACACGATTCATTCGCTTTTAAATAAGCTTCGATAGCGAACGCGGTTTGTTCTCCTGTTCAATGCGACACCGGCACTAAAAACCCGCACGAATGACGAAGCTAGCAATGCCCCTTCCCTTCTCCCCTGCCTAACAGTTACGGAACCATTTGATTTTGAAATCCGAATTCTGCCACCGGATCTGACCTTTGAACTTTAAACGTATCTCATTCCACGCAGATAGCGGAGCCCGCTTCAAGCATTTGCTATCCTCTGATAGAAGATGCTTTTGATCAGCTTTCGTTTGGTGACCTATACCATGCAGATAACTGCCAATAAGAATGAAACAGTGTTGCACGTGGTTGGCCCTCTGTTGATCAAACGGACTGAAGCAATATCATTAAATGTATTTTTTTTACACCGAAGCAGCCTAAATGCCAATGCACCGCGGCTGCTATGAGGACGACAAAAAACTTTGTTAATCCAATTTTTGAACTGCTTGCGGTCAGAAGAACTGGAAAAAGCCTCCCTTTGTAGATTGTCCCACAATCTCGACACCCTATGGACAAAGGAGCGGTCGTATCGGTCAGTTCAGGATGTACGAAGTTTGACACGGTTAGGATCGGAGGCCCAAGTTAGGCGGGTCTAACTGGCACGCACATCGCGCGACGGCATCATGGATTTTATTCAAAACTGGATATGAACTGGTGTTCTTCTAATGAATAATACACAGCAGCAACAAAAACATTTTTTCAAAACTCGAAAAACGCTACCTGTGTCACTTGTTAAACTAAATGACAATATCAAAGTGGAAAACTAGTTGTGTACCAAAACATTATTCGAAATGTACAACCTCTTCCAAAAACAATCTTAAATTTCATCTTACTTTGTACAATAAAGCAATTATTATTCAGGCCTTTTGAAGTTGCAAATCAAACTAGTAGTACTAAAGTTGCCTTCGCAATTTACCTATTTTTTGCCAACAGAACTAACACCGATGCTGAAAGAAGAATTTTAGGCATCAAAAACAGTATAGTGAAATATGAATTCCGAGTTTACATATTCACACTAAGGTGAACACAATAACGGATTGGTTAGATAGTATTTCAAAAATGACAACCTTTAGTGAAACAAAAATTTAATAGGTCTGATCCAAAATACTTGTTTTCAGAAAAGTGCTACATAGAACGGGTTTGTACTGGCCGACCGCAGTATGTAGCTTTTGAGATTTCAAGAGCAGTGTGGAGCAAAACATCTTACATACAGTAATGGACAAAAGCATATAGACAAATATGAATATTTACCTAAATACCTTAGAAAACGAATTCATACATCATTGCTCCATAAACCAATGCGTTATTAGTAGAAAAACTAAATTCCTTGTTTTTACATTTTTACAACTTCTGTTTAAAACCCCAAGACAAATAAAAGCCGAAATCGAGACAAAAGGAATTGCCAGTGTTTCTACGAAAACTATAAGTAGAAGATTAAATGATTTGAAGTTATTTGCACGTCGCTCGAGTAAGAAGCCGCTAATCTCGAGGAAAAACCGTAAGGACCGATTACAATTTGCACGGTTGCATCTTGATTGGAGCATCTGTGACTGGAAGAGGGTATGTTTCAGTGACGAATCTAAGTTCATATGTTTGGATCAGATGGTTTAATTACGTTGGACGTCCTAGTGGACAAAGATTGAATCCCAAGTACACTTTTCCCACTGTCAAACATGGAGGCGGGTCTGTTATGGTTTGGGGGTGCTCTTCGGGGTTTGGGATGGGACCTTTACATAGAATAGATGGCATTATGGATAAGATTGTATACACTGACATACTAAAGCATGTCATGTTACCCTATATGGAAGACAATATGCCCTTAAGATCAATCTTCCAGCAAGATAATGATCCGAAGCACACTTCAAATCTCGCAAAGGAATTCTTTCTGGATGAAAAAATACCAGTTCTCAAATGGCCTTCACAGTCTCCCGATATAAGCCCCATTGAAAATCTATCGGAATACTTAGATAAGCAAATACGAGATAAAAATTATTCGAACAAGGATGAACTTTTTGCCGCTTTAGAGCAAAAGTGGAGACAGATTGATGAATCTTATATCAAGAAACTTCTACAATCTATGCAGAGACGATGCCAGGCGGTGATTGATAATAATGGTTATGCTACAAAATATTAACACACACATGGTTGGTTTTCTATAATTCAATGAACTTTGCTTCTTTTTTCTATAGCTGTTTTGCTTTGTCTATATATTTTTGTCCTTCATAATTCCAGTTTTTTCAATTAATTTTTTATTGAAGGGAGTCTAATGAATTTATTTATGTATAAATGAGTATTATGCTATAACGAATTATGTATACAGGTTGGTGTATTAATAAAACAAGTTAAAAAAGAAATACAACACAATATTAATTTGTCTATATACTTTTGTCCATTACTGTATGTATGTAGATGGGAAGCAAATGTTAAGATCATAATTTGATATAAATACTACCTTGCTAATTAACCCAATTAAGCTCAACCAAGCACATAAATAAAGCAGTAATGAAGAGAAGCATAAACTTTACATACCCATTATCTGTTTTTACAGTTAAAGCATGGCTCTGCTGTTTTTGCCCCTTGTTAGATTTATTAGTATTACGTTTTTTGTTCCCCTATAAGAGACAAGAAAAGGTGATTAATAATGTAGCATGATGATTCAGATTACAATGCACATACACAAAGCCATTTAGTAGCAATAGCAAAGCGTCGAAATCACAGAAAATGAGTGATAGAATGAGTGCAATATTTCTTATTGAATGGATATGTTACCGCTAATATCCAAAATCCGCTAATATGCATAATAACTACACATAATAGGAATTATGCGTAAATACTAAAACCGTCGGTTAGTATGCAAAATAACGGCGCGTATCAGGAATTATCGATAACTACTAAAATCGTCAGTAATTATGCAAAGTATCGCCATATTTTTAGTAAATATTGATAATAACTGACAGCAATAGGAATTATGCATAATATCTGCTGTGTATATTAGTGATTATACATGTAACCACACAAAATACGTGCGTTGAAGTTTGAGGTTATTTCCAAACAGTATTAGAATATTACATAAGAAATTATTTCAATATACTTGTCACTTTGCGAAGTTTGTCATTTGAAGCTATCCAAAAAGCGAAAAGGTATCACTGTAAAACCAATAATTCACAAAGAATTTAATAGCCGTGCTCAAGTCGACTTCATAGATATGCAGTCTGAAGCTGATGGTGAATTTAAGTTTATACTTGTATACCAAGATCATCTGACTAAATTTGTTATGTTACGTGGATTAAAATCAAAGAAGGCGTCTGACGTAAGCCAGCATATCAAAGATATTTTTTGTATTTTTGGAGCTCCATCGATACTACACAGGTACCTACTACCTAACTGTTAATGCTTTTACTTCTATTTTATGAGTTTTTTTTATCTCACTGATAATGGAAGAGAGTTCGTTAATGAAATAATACGAAACTTAACAGTGGAATTGCCAGGTCTGAAATTGGTGAATGGAAAACCCTGTCACAGCCAAAGTCATGGGAGTGTCGAACGAGCAAACGCCGATGTTGAGGCAATGCTAGCCACCTGGATGTCCGACAACAAAACTAGAGACTGGTCGAAAGGTTCATCTACAGTCAAATTTATGAAAAATAGGTCTTTCCATGCTGGAGTGAAAATGTCGCCATATAAAGCTTTGTTTGGCTGTGAACCGAAAGTTGGTCTTGCATCTGAAAATCTACCTGCAGAAAATATTCAAGAAATTGTTACTGAGGAGGATTTGGATGCTCTTTTGCAAAGTTACGACGATGAGATAGATGAACAGGTAACAGATAATAACGAAAACAACCCAAAGCACTAGAAAATCGAAATACACAAATTTTGGAAATAAGAAGTGAAGCATCACAAAATCTTCAACAGCAAGCACATAAAATGCTTAAGACATCCAATTCAAAATATTCGCCATGTTTAGTTGGTACTAATGTCACTGTTCCTATTCCCGATGTCGACCGTGCTCGTGGATCTTTCCGCAATGTAATTGCTGTTGTGATGGAAGTAGATGTAGATAATGGAAATTATAAGCTTGGAACAAAGGATGGGATATTACAGCAATTATATGTACGCTCTCAATTTGAACCTTGCTTAAATTCGGACTTCATATTAGTGATGTTCCAACTATTTCAACTTCTCTTCGAAAAGCAGCTGCAATTGCTTCTGGTACTAATCAAGGTTATCAACGATGCAATTGCACCAAATTTTTCCGAAACAGTACCTGCCGCTGTAAAAAAAATAATCGATTATGCAATAGTAACTGCCATCAAAGCTCTTTTTGTTCCAATAAGTAAATATAATAATTTTTATGTAGTCGTTTGAAATGTTACGGTTATGTTTTTGTTTCGTTTTGATTCCTATGTTTAATTTTCATCTATGCATACCATATAGTTTTATAGAATTACATATATATTAAATGTTATGTAGCAGTATACTTACTCGTAATATATTTCTATTTTATCATTAACTACATAGCATTTCAAATTGCACGTTACTTAGTTAATGACGTGACGTGATATTATGCTTAATTACTAACATAAGATATTGATAGCTTCAGTATGTACGCATAGTTTCTAATTTGCGTAATTCCTATTATGTGCAGTTGTTATGCATATTAGCGGATTTTGGATATTAGCAGTAACAGATACACGACACTTGGCCATCGGAACAAATACACCCAATTTCATTATGTGTACACTCTCAAGATATTGCTCAATGCCTACACCAAATTCAGCACAACTGGGGTAGACGTACACATTAATATATTGACTGCTTTGTCAGACACTGGTGACTGAGAACTATTCCAATGCTGTAGTGTCAGTGATCAGAAGTGACACTACATACCTTCTTTTAACTTGCGATTTAGCACTGAGAGACATTAGCTCTTTTAAATCATATTAGATTTGCCTGACGCGAACGCTTCTCAACATACAGGGTGTTTCATTGGAAAAGGGAGATATTTTAACCACAGATAGATGCCATTGTGGTGATTATAAATAACTTATGGCTGATGGGTATTTAGCCACTTCCAACCGAAATACCGATTTTGGCAAGTCTTCATGGTCTCACATCTTTTTAACCACCTGTTATGTTTTTCTGAAACTTGGCCTGCGTACTTAGCTGAATCGAATATGATACGAACAGGAAAAAAAATACAGTTCTGAACTAGTTGAAGTTTGACAAAATTGTTTTACTCAAAGACAACACCGTGTATATAGGAATGTTTTTACTGTGAAATGCAAATGTTAAATCGAACATTCCTTAAGGAAGCATTGTTGTATTGTTTTCAAGGAGAGTTCTTTCTTCAAATGCTACTCAAGCCTCAAGGAAGGTCTGTAAATGTGACTCTTTAGCCACATTTTTTACTTATCTGCACAAAATTGCGCCTAGCGCACAAACTCGATCAATGAGAAGCCGTTTTTGAGTGAATGGATCTAAATAATATAGTCGATTTCTTACAAAAGATGTCATAAATTACGTGGTTTAGTTAAAAAAAGTTATCATTTCATTTGCACCCAGGCATAAAGTTTGCAGCTATGGGCAAAAAATCCACCAATGAAATAGGATTTACGCCATACTCGAAACATGGACCAAATCTGATACAGTATCTGGATTGATATTACAGCAGTTACTGAGCATTGCAATGAAAATAATAGTGTCACTACTAACCTAAGATGCCTGTGAGATAATTTTGAAAAAATGATATTTTTAAACAATATATCAGCATGTTCATTGAGTTGCCGTATAATGAAGTTGTTTTATTTAAATCACTTCCCTGCTATGGCAGTGTTCGTGTCCGTATTTGCAAGATAAATATTTGCAACTATCCTATTTACAAAAAAAATGTATTCATGTAAAGTATCTTTTTTGTGAATATAGTCTTTCTACGGAGAAAACCACTTCCGTGCTTCGTTTTACGAGGTGTTTATTTCTGAATACAATCCTGATCGCGGTGACTCCTGCGCCTGGACATCCTCGTCGTCGCGGCAGTTTGGTTATATTATTCTTTAGAATGTAGATATGAAACTTGTTTCATACTGGTAGAATTTCTGCCATAGTCCCAAATAAGTCTTCAGGTTCAAATGAAAGAATAGGTTTTTGTAGTAAATCAATACCCTATTCGTAGTCCATTTACGCCCCGGCACAACAAAGATGCATCACGGCAAAGCGGAGCCGTCTAAGCGTTGCAATAGCTATTGGTCATTCGGCCATAAAAATACGAACAAGTGCAGGATTCGACAATACAGAACTCAGGCTCGGGGTATCGCCGACGCCGGCAGTTGCTGTTCGTAATCGCATACATAGCGTGTTTATTCGTTAGCATGTCGTCTACGGATACAGCAGATGAAACTGAGAATATTTCTCTCAATGCTTTCTTCAGTCATGCTTCCTCTTCAGTGATGTCTCCTCCCCGAAAACGTAACAAGAAGGGACATTTGAATATTCAGGCAAATTGTCCTTCAAAAGAGCGAAATTTTAGAGCATCCTAAAATAAAAATTCATGATATTGAAAGACGTGTGGCGAACAAAACAGGCTTATGTCCTAAAACTATTTTCATCATTGTTAAAGAATATAAAAAAAGCTGTTGGATAAGTTGATAACTTTGATTGGAATGCTGTCAGACGCAAAGTCCATCAATTTTTTGACGGGCAGGAACTTTCCACCATAGACAAAGTATTACAGGAGGTTAATAGTGATGAAGACTCACCTACGTTCAAAAGGACCACATTCTATAGTTTACTCGAAGAACTTCATTTTGAGTATAGAAAACGGGACAGAAATAGTATTTTGATGGACAGCCAAGAAAGATTATTTTATGGAGAAGAAATTATTTAAAATCAATAAAGAAATACCGCGACCAGGGCAGGAAGATTTATTACTTGGATGAAACCTGGATAAATGCAGGACATACAAAACCTAAAGTATGGGCTGACTTTACAATTAAATCAGCAAGACAATCCTTACATGGATTAACCACTGGCCTAAAGAATCAGTCACGTACGTGTATCTAACTAATTCGTCATTTGTGTTATAAAAATGGTGTCAAGTAGACAATCTATGAGCCCACGCTGAAAACTTAGCTACACCAAACTTAGCTATATCTGGTAGATTTGGATCCAACACCTGATAGATAGTCTGCTTGTATTATTAGTTTTCTTGAATACTATATGAAATAATCTATTTGTAGGAAAAAGTAAGCGACTTGTTATCTGTCACATTAGCAGTGAAGATGGCTTTGTGCCCACTGCCCTATGGGCATTTGAGCCAAAGAAAACGACTGACTACCATGAAGAAATGGATGGGAGTTCATTTGAACGATGGTTTGAAGAAACTGTGCCAAAGCTTGACGTCAATGCCATCATTGTACTTGATAATGCTGCATACCACACTAGAAGACTAGAAAAAATTCCCACAGTGTCCACAAGAAAGGCAGAAATTTAACAAAGGCTCCTACCAAATGAAAATATGGTCAAAGCAGAACTTATGCATCTAGTCAGGCAGCACGAATATAATCTTAATGTTATTGATGAAATGGCTAAAAACCAAAATAAGACCGTTTCAAGGCTACCCCCTTATCACTGCGAATTAAATCCCATTGAAATGATTTGGACAAATATTAAAAAACTATGTGGTTTCAAACAATAGAGCATTCAAATTTTCTGACGTGAAAAATTTGTTTTATGACAGAGTGACGGCAAACAATTGGAAAGATTGCATGCGTCACGTTCAAGAGACAATCGAAACAAAGATGTGGGATCTGGACAATATGATCGATATTCAAATTTAACCTGTAATAATTAATATCAACCATTCGGACGATAATTAAAGTACTTCCAGTGAATAAAGAATTGTGAAAAGTATGTGCACTTCTTTCTATAAAAATAATCATTTATTTTGTTAGTTTATTCCAAGACCATTGAGGAAAATACGGACCTGTACAATCTCGCTTTTGGGCATGTTGTGTTTCATTTGAGCGTAAATGGACTACGAATGGGGTATAGGCGTTTTTTGAAGTATTCCTCAATTTAATTTGGGAATCAGGGACTCATCGTAAGACATGAGAGATAATATACATTAAGTTTGTACAAAATCTAATCCAAGCACTTATTCTTGATATGCTTGAAACCCAAGCACAAGTTTTCAGTTTTTTAGGTATTCTATGTTTATTGGGTGGTATATATTCACGTGTTAATTATATTATTTTGTATTTTAACAAAAAAAATATTGTATTGCATTCACCTTTATTTTTCGAGTCCGATTTCTTCTGATGGAGTGTAAGATATGTATCATGATTTTTACCAAAATAAAGCTTTGAAAACACATATAAGCTATATCCACTCATGCTACTACGAGCCCCTTCCCACATCAGTTGGCCCACTTCAAGATTTTTACCAAAATATGCCTTTATAAACTAAACATGACAAAACTATTTATTTCTAAAACAATTTATTTTCTCAAAAACATTTTGGATACACTCTAGTCGTAAAAAATACATATTTGAAATCACTTAGTCCTATAACTAATAGAACATCTGAACAAATAAACAATGTGCGAACAAATGCGCGAAGTTAACGAAGCAACAATTGAAAGATTACCACAGGGTAACATCACCTTTATTTTTTATTACGGCTGAAATTCTTTGGGGCATAGTGTTAACCAAGTTTTGGCAAAAATTTGGTGTAAAACAATCCCATATTTCTTGAAGCTTTTGTCTCAGTTCGGTGATTGTACGAGCAGGATGTTGTCGTAGAACCTTTTTCATCTCGTGCCACAATAGGTGACAGATCTGGACTGCTAGAAACCCATTCCAAACGTGGTACATTATTTTCTTCCATCCATTTTATAGCCTTTATTGAGGTATGGCACGCTGCACCATTTTGCTGAAACACAAAATCTTGGCCGGATGCCAAACCTTCTTCCATCACTGGTAAAAGCGATTCTTCTAAAATTGTCAAATATTTGTTGGTATCTACATTTCCATCAATAAAATGAAGTTTTCCTACTCCTTTTGATGCCATACTGCCCCAGACCATAATGGATCCTGGAAATTTCACTTTTCTCTTCAGACAGTCAACATGGAATGCTTCATTTTTTTTGTGAATAACTCTACTGCGACTGTCACCAACACAAACTTCGAATCGGGCCTCATCACTCCATTGTATTGCACACCATTGTTGAGGTGTCCATTGTCTATGTTCTTAAGCCCATCTAAGACGATTTTTCTTTTGCAGTGGAGTTAATAGTGGCTTTTCTTTGGCCTATAAACAAGTTGTGCAACTTTAGGGCTTTTACTTCAATTTCAAGAAAACTTACCTTGCAAGTGCTAAATCCCAGTTTGTGGGCCTCTCTATGAGTTGTAGACCTCGAGTTTCTCCTTCCAACAGCGTCACTCCACAGAGCACTTAATTGTAAATAATTGGCACGCCTGTTTTTCACGATTATTCGTCTTAATGCTCTTCGGTCGGCATTTGTGATATTACTTTTTTTACATATCGTGGCTTAACTATTAACTGAACCAGTTACGTTATATCTTCTAACAATATTTCTCACACTGTACCGCGATAAGTCTAACAACAAAGTTGCAATTTCTGAGTTTGATTTCCCAGAATTAAAAAATTTAATTATCAGTAACCGAATTTTCTCACTAATAACCTTTCCTCTACCCATTTTGAAAACCTTAACTACCCAAAACTATTTTAAACGTATTCTGACAGCTGTCATGGCTTTTATTTTTCACAGCCACCTATGCGTTATAGACTTATTTTGCATTGAAATGAAAATAGGTTGATATGCTGTAATTGCAACATGTGTTATTTTTATGCTGCAAAATTTGATTAGGGAGAGATAAAGTTGGTGTTTTCTACTATATATTATCAAAATATTCATTGTTAATATTTTAAACCTATAACACCCTGCTACATTTTTATTATTTGTGTTTGATAAGAAAAAAATAATTTTCTGAACAAACTGCAATGTTTTGCATTTTTCAAGGTTGTTACGAGTATAAAATTTTGTTAGCAAACCTTAGATTGAGACTAAGTACTCTAAGAATAATAGGAATTAAAAAATCAAAGCTATATCACAAATATCCAGGTAAAAGGCCAACATTGAAGTACATGTCCTTTCACAACACTGATGAATATCAACACTTACCAATAGGTATATAATAATAATAATATTATTTTATTCAGCTTAAAACATTTTTTGCAAACCACACGAAGATCTTCATTAATATAATAAATCTTGTTTTTAAGCCGCTTATGCAAGTTATTTCAGATATAATTTTAAATAAGGAAAAAGAAGCGAACACATACTATGAAGTCATTTAGTTCCAGCAGTAAGTGAATTCAGTCACGAACTGACTTGCGCAAATGCAGTAAGATTCAGAATCCAACTGTTTTTGGAACACGCCTATCAATGGAACATATAGTGACAGCTGAAGTACTCCATAATAACCTGTTTGGTGATTAGCATTTCTACTTGTTTTTATTTCAACATAATAGTGCTAAAATAATGCTTAGCAGGCAATCGGTAACATGCAACTACTATTAGTAGCCCGTTTCGGTCGTTTAAGCGATCTTAGTTGCAAACCAACAAAACAAACAACCATAAAACACGAATACAGCGCTGATGACAGTGACAGCTCACAGAGATTTGAGGTTAACCTATAGATGGAGATATGTTGTAGTGAATTTGATACTATACATCGTATAATATCTACCAGTTTTGAGAGAATTCAAATAAACCTTCAGTCAATATTGCTATTTTTTATTTGAACAGTAAAACTATCATTTTTTTGTTTACTATGATATTTAATATCCGTTAAACGTATTCATAACTAATGAAGACTACGAGTACCCTATTGTATGGAACATTACAACTGTAAGGACACCCGCGCAATGTTGTTTTCGCAGAAAAATACGAATTTATTGCCATTTGTCAACAACTGTCACACTGGCGGAATACTTTTGGTTAACTGGTATGCTCTTGCATCCTTGGCTACTCACTAGGTATGTTGCATCGAAACAAATCGCAAGGTTTGCTCCTTCTGCCTAGTCTGCTGAACTCTACGGAGTTACTTGAAAGCAGCTTTAAATATTTTTCTATAAACCAGATTGACAACTCACCTGATTCCTCCGTGCGTTATGGACAGCGTAGGTGGGCGCGCCTTTGTTCCTGTTCTGCCCGCCTCTACCTCTACCGCCCCCATAGTTATTGTAGCCACCACGACCGCGACCTTGTTGCATGTACGATGCGCCAGCCGGCAAGATCTGGCGCGTCATGCTCGACTGGAAGCTGTAGTTGGCACCCCAGGAACCCACCACCACACCGGCCACCTGACAAAACCAAACGTTATGCTCTGATCTGGCTTGCCAGTATATTGCGATTCCACAATCTTATTCGGAAACAAGTTTTCGATATAGTCTAGGTTCCCTTTACCCGAAGTAGCCATCATATGTTAAGTCGACAAGCTATAAATATAATCTTAGAAGTTTGAATAAAGCAGCATGTCCATAAATTTACATAAAGAAAATTGACAATCCAAATCAATCCACGAGAGTCTGTTTACTTCTTTTTGCCTAAACTAGACACAGTATTGATGTGGGTAACACATGCCATAGATATCGTGAAGTAATACTGCATGAGACATTTCCTGGTCGTGCATTCGCTCATTTTGATGATCAAAATCGACTCCCTAGACCTTTCTGCAGTATTTGTGCCTAAATTTGATAATACCGATGTGGATAACGCGTGTTTTTAGCACGACACATTTGCAGCATGATTTCATGGTTGGGTACCCTCTCACTGATGATCTAGGTTGCTCCCTAGATCGTGTGATTCCACCCCACTGGATTTCTTTTTAAGGAGTTATTTGAACTCTAAGGTCTACGTCAATAAACACAATGACACTCGTGCATTAAGCAAGGATTCAAAGCTGCCTCAACGAAATTCATGCATTTATGCAAAATGATCATAAAAAATTTAGACAAAAAATGCGATGGCCTGCAGGACGAGAAGGCAATTTTCCTGACGTGCAAACCATAACCTGTATACTGTATGATCCAGTAACGAAATAATATGAAGAAAATATGTTTTCTATTTAATCAAAATCTTTCATGCATTTTAGAACACCCTTATATATGAGACGCCGATTAATGTACGAAGTTAAGCTAAGTTAAAACTAAACTATAATATAATTATATAAGTGGATCTTAGTAGATGAATTGCAGAACTCACACAAGGTATAATATGGATTACATATTAAAGAGTCTTTGAGTTCATGGTGAAATATCTTTAAATTGTTCATTCTTTTGATAGCAAGAGAGACATGTAAATTTTCATACCATTATAAATGATTGAGTATTCCACAAGTGTTGATTTAGGTACTAAAGGGTTTTTCATTAAGTGTGAATGAAATTTAAAATTGAATAAAACGAGTTATGTGCGACATATGATGGAAACTTTAATTGCGTATTAAAGTACATTCAATACCATTAAGTTGTAAAAATTGCATCATTCAAATGGCCTTCGCGGCTTCGTTTACAGGACTCGATCCGCGAGGTTCAATTTTGTCAAATTGTTGTTGATTTATTACCATAAACCAGCGACTTAACGTAACCCCAGAGAAAAAATTCTTAAGGGCGTTAAGTCGCACGATCTTGGCGGCCATTCCACATTGCATCTTCTAGAAATAAAGTTCCCTGGAAACTTTTCTTGCAACAACTGAAATGTAATGACCAATGTGTGACACGTGGCGCCGTCTTGTTAGGACCACATGTCGTGCAGGTCCATATCATCCAAATGAGGCCACAAAAAGTCCGTTATCATGGTCCGATACCGAGCGCTGTTGACAGTTACCGTCTCGCCATTGTCGTTTCGGAAGATGTACGCTCCAATGACGCCGCCTGACCAAAACCCACACCGGATGCATAGATACTGTTGTGGATTACTGTCTCCACAAATACGACAATTTTGTTTATTCACGAAGCCGTTTAACCAAAAAGGTGTTTCATCACTGAAAATTATTTTTTTTTGCCAAAATCTGGATCCGCTCCCAACTGTTCCAGAGCCCAATCAGCGAAAGTACGACGCGCTTGGTGGTCTTGGGGCTTCAGTTCTTGCATCAACTGGATCTGATATCGATACCTGTAAAATTCAAGTCGAGGTCGCAGAATGGTCAACTGCCTGTGCAAGACGCGGAATCGAAAGTTATTTTTATAATAGATTTTAACAATTGTGACGCGTTCTTGCATAGTGTAGCGCTCCATGGTAAATGGTGACTATGACACAACACACAAACATCGTGGAATGATAACCGTGCCAACTGAAACGTCAGAGCCAGATGTTGCTAAATTTCAGACATAGCTATTGAAAAACCCTTTACTAATTTAAGATCTTGTTTTGGTTTGATACCGTAGCTTATATTTAATGTTTCAAATCTCAAATCAATCTGTTTTACCAGAGATACATATAGATAACAAAAGTTTGGAATGCATCAAATATCTGACGAATGACTCGCCGATTTTTTTTTTAAATTAGTAGGTTTAGGTTCGAATGCACGGCGGATCAGTTCATGATATACGTGATGTTGCTAAATCTACAGTTTTTCAGAAACTGGTGGCAGTTTTTGTTTTTCAGTTAAATGAATCAATAACTCTACTAACAAAACTCAATAGACTTTTGAATGTCAGAAATGACAGGAAATTACTTTCGATACTGGTTCTTGCTTAGGTGAAAAAAATACCTTTTGATGTTTGTTTGTCCGCATTTATTTCGAAAACTATGAGGTCTACTTCAAAGTATGTTTAATAAAAAGTATTCAGAATTTCTCGCAGATTACAAATATCGAATAAAATGTATAGCATCTCATAATAAAAACAAAATATGCTATCAGTTTCTGAGAAACTGTAGATTTGGCAACATCCGGGAATCAACAACGAATCCGCCGTAGTACAGTCTGTATAGAACCAATATTCGCATTGATGAACATATACTGTACGCCGTCACCTAAAAAAGGAACCTGAAAGATCCTAGCGCCATGGACGAGACAGTAGCAGAACATAAAAAGATAAAAATGAATTTAGATATATTTATTATACATACTTTGAAAAGAGTTAGTGATTGGTTCTGCTACTGTCTCATACATGCATTTTGGCACCCGAATGACTATTTCAAATGGGTATCTCTTCTGTTATGAAGATTCAGGAGCTTGATATCAGTTCACTAAAGCTGTAGGATTCAGGCCTTACATGCACTGACAACAACTTTTGCTTTGGATTAGATGAGTTTTTAAGATACAATCACTTCAAAGGAAGAACATGCACTAAATTTAAAATAAAATGATAGATCTCTTTATCTGCGATCATTTTCTCTTTGACAGCCTTAGCTAACTCGACCAAGAAACTACCCGTAGTTCCCGACATAATAAGCTACCTATGAAGAGAAAATAATAATATTTACCTCAAGTTGGCCTCCTCTAGATGGGATCGGTCTCTGGCGTAAATTAGAACCTCCACGGCTCGAAGTCATGGCCATTTGGGGCAGGTAATGTTGTGGCAGACCTTGACGAAGCAATGGTGCTGTAAATAAAATTTTGATAGACTGTAGTATCATACAAGGATGGCTCAACCATAACAAGGAAAACTATGATGAGGTATACTTACGGAAAGGTACGCATTTACAACTCTTATCAATAATATTATGAAAGCACTGGTTTTTATTCCTAAATGACAAAAAAAAAATGAAAACCGCATTCATGCAGCACAACGACGAATGCAGCAGCATTTCTAACAACCTGTCTACAAAGTCAGTTGTATTCAATATTGTTCAGCCTCTTTTGTTTTTTTTTTGTTCATTGTTCGATTTTTCATGGTTACTTTTTTGGCTTGTAACTGCATATACATTTGAGTAATTGTGTAATTGGAATATTAACATTTGGACTATTATGAGATTTTATTTGTTTTGTATACATTTTTGGAATCATTGTATGTGGTTCACTGGGTCCTCAGTTGAATTTAAAAGATTCTCTTGACTTCTCTGAAGTAAAAATAAAGGCCATTATTATTATTATTTATTACAACATTCACTGCATGTAGTAACACAATATCAGTTAGTAGCTTATACATACACCATCCCAGAAGATATAGGGCCAATTTCACCAACAACAGTCCGTTATTCTCCACCTATAGGGTAACAGTCCGTCAAATACAGCGAATGAGCTTCAAGTTCCAATCAACAAATTTTAGCAACCAATAGCTATGAAATGTTGAAAACAAAATATTGTCAAAGTATGAGATGACATCTTGTCATTGAAACATCACCAGCTTATTGAATTATTATATATAAATTAAGAAATTACATATAATTCACTCAAAATTTAAACAAATGTTGAATAAAATTCATGTTTTAATTACCATTGTTCATTTTTTATTCATGATATTATTTTCTTCAATTGATATGATATATTCAAGATCATCTACTGGGTGTTTTTTCCTATAAACCTCTTGCAGATAGCCATTAAGCACCTACTTGATGACTGGCTCTACCAAAAAGTTCATAGATATTGCTCGTTTCCAAACATTCATTCATTTACTTGCAGTTCATCAGAACCATTATGGCACCTTACTTACATTGATATTCCCACAAAACCATTCTGGTTTTTTAATATCCATACATCCATAAAGTTGAATATTTTTCGTTGTTCAGGAACTTAACAAACATCCACACTATATTCACAGCGATTAAGAAATACCCAAATATATGTCGTAGAGCTACCAGCAAACCTAAAACCTGCATAAAAACTAGAAATTTGCAATATTTTTCTTTTTTCACTGAGTAGATGTTCTGGGTTATATTTATATTAGACGTTATTTGAATGCAGCTGATTATTGCATTTAAAGGAGTGACACATGTGTGGGCTCTGTCAACTCTTGGTACCAGTCACAAAACATACTCTGAAGGTTTAATTCCATGCTATTCAATCACAACACGGTGACTTGTGTGGTTGTCAGCGGCCATTTTGTGAGGGTGTGACAGGGTTGCCAGATTGTGCATTAATATCCCGTTTCACCCTCCTGGTCCCAGTGGAGTAAGTTCCACCAACTGTTGAAATATACTCTACTATGCTTTATAAGACTATTCGTGACATTTTTCCCAAAATCGTTGCACAACACTTGAAAAAATGCAAATGAAAATTTAAAATTACTTCCATGACGCCGCAAAATAGCTCCGTCGGTACCTTGGGTTATCCATCTTGACAGTAGGGATGTTCGATATGATCCTATATTTAAAAGTATCTTTACATTTCACGAGTATCGTCATCTTTCGATCCGGACTGTGTCAGAAAGAGTGACTGCCATTTGGCTTGCGACATTACCCTGCTAAATCAGACATATCTTTCATCATTTTCAAAGAAAGTGTACAAAATCTTCAAATTTGTGAAGTTAGCGAGTTTCACTTCATACGTTCTTACCAGACATGCCCAAATCATCAGTTGCTGCCGTAATATTCATCCCGACCACTGCATCCCCACGGCTAGGCGACCTGCATGTTAAATTTGTATTGACAGGGCAGCGGGTTATGCTATAAATCATGTCACAGTGTTTGTGCATTAATTGCAACGGTTGGATGATACCAAAAATATTTTCATAAATAGGAGATCTTTCCCATTCCGGATCGAACAATCTACCAAAGATGCTTATAATCATGATACCTAGTAAATTTTCACGAAAAAAATGCAAAACCAGCAAATGTAAAAGATTCATTTTGCACCCTCCACCACGGGACGTGATCGTCGTTAGACTTGGCAACCCTGCGAGTGTCAGATAGATATCACCGCCAGTCAAAAAAAAATAGAGAAACAGTAAACATTACTAGTTTTTTTGATTTTTGAACTTAACAGCCATTATCTGTGAAACATTTTTCATGATTTTTTGTCTATGTCTATAGTAATTGCATTATGCATCAGGGAGATGTAGGGATTGATACGTCTTACACATATCATCTGTGTTTTAGGATGGAGAGGACATAATGTTTTTATTGTTTTGAAGAAATTCATTAACCCATAAATTAATAAATGATTACTATTATGACGTAAAGGAAGATGAGGAATTTGATGGAATGTATTTTATAATTTTATATTCTATTTTCTTGCAAAATACAGACAAATCCACACTATTCAACAGGTATGTAATGATAACTTTCAGTATATTGAAGTTGGTAAATGCGAGAGTTCCATGCATTAACAAACGTCCAAATCTGCTGCCAAATTTAACAGCTAGAAAATCGAGCTATTATTTGCCGCATTACCATTCGCTGAGGCGGATAACGGATTGATAAATGTAAACCTATATATATCAAAATACATGAAAGTTGTCCTGTTTTTTCTGTACAAAAGCATCATGTTGGGATCAAAAAGTGGTCTTGTTTTATAATACAGTCGAATTTTCACGATTTTATTCAATATATCAATAGAAATCACCGATATTCTGAGAGCTTTGACAGCTTCCGTCAAATTGCATTTCGATAAGGTATTTTCCCATTGGTCCATAATATTAATGTTGGTGAAATCGGCCCATAGTGAACTAAATAAAAAGACTTACCTCCGGCAAATGGCGGCAATGGTACCTTGGCAAACTTGACATCCAACCCTTCTAGAATCGCCTTACGCATTCTCTCCACTTTCACAACTCTCTCGATGTAGTTCTCACACACTTCGAGGATATTCTTCGCGTGTGCCGATCTGGTCAAGGTATAGTGGAACAGCTTGCCATCAAAGTACAGCCACGGGCAGCACATCAGCCACGGTAGGGGAGCACCGCAAGCGTCGTTAGCCAACAGCGCCATCTCTACACCTTCCATGAATAAGGCAGCTAGTTGTACACCTCTGGATGTTACTACATTTAACTGCAAAGACACAGTTTGTGATGCAAAATTAATTTTATATATATATATATATAAAGCTTTCGCCTTTTGTTGGGTACTTCGACAAAATTTAAGCAAAATACTTTATCAATCTCTCTAGCTTTCAATGGACTTTGCCATCATCATCAGGAGCTGCAATAACAATGAGAAAAATAGCAACAATTGTGCAAAATGAATTTTAAATTAACTTACAGTAGTATGTGAGGATGCTGCTAAATATTATTTACGTTTACGTTGAGGGACATACCCAGTAACCTGGTGAAAACTGGATACATGGTACAATCGTCAAAATTAATACAAACTACACACAGCTGTATGTCAAGAACAAATTAAAACGGATTAAAAATATTTTAAAACGCAAGTAAAACATTACATCGTGAACCACGTTACTGCAGCTCCTGATGATGATGGCTAAGACCATTGAAAGCTAGAGAGATTGATAAAGTATAAAGAGTCCTCTTTGTTTAAATTTTGTCGAAGTACCCAACAAAAGGCGAAAGCTTTAATTTTTCACCTAACTCGTCTAGACGACAATGACCACGTCTCAATATATATATATTGATCTGTGTGGCTGGCATTCGAGTATCTTCATGGAACAAACGATTAATGTAGCGATCCAAAACATAATCGGTATTTTTCCGTCTTCCGCACCTGGGCCGCAATGCTGTTCCTTTGTTCATTTTTAGTCTTTGAGAAATATCAACATTTCTGACGCCACTTCTAAATAATTCAATCACTTTGTCTCTTGAATACAAAAACGTTACAAAAACTGTGGTATGTAAAAAAAAAACGCGTGTTTTTATTTTCAGAGAATTTGAATATTGATAAGATAAACCTTGTATTAGTACGGGAACCTAAGCTAGACTCTAATAGTTACATGTTCCTTCAAAATTTTAATTTAGGCATATGAAATAAATAATGTTAATACTTGTTTCCAAAGTTTTGTCCGCTACTATACACATATAAATCAGTAATTTGTGTAACAGTGTAATGTGTAACATCTGAAACTAGTCCTATGATTTTCATGCTAATAATCCTCCTTGTTCTCAAATTATAGATAACAGTCCCTTTTTTGATCTGAACCTTGTAAAATGCCACAGAGGTAGCCAACATGAAAGTAAAAACTCAAATCTATATAGTAGTTTCATTTAACAGCCAGAAAACATGGAGAATGGAAAAATAGTGATATATATCCAAATATGAATAAATAAAAATAAAACAAAAAATATGTTTGTATAAACAGGGTTATACAGGGTGTCCAATAAGTACCATGACAAACTTAAGAAGGTAGGCTTTGAACTGACCTCCCAAATAACAAAAACTTACCAATATAAAAGTGTCACCGTTTTTGAGATATTGAATTTTTTCTTAAATTTTAAAAAACGAACCTTTTCATCTGAAGTCTTTAACTGCATGTACAAATAACGTTATACTTTGGTTCATTTTTTCTATAAAATACTTCTAGATAGTTGCTTTATCATATACAAATGCAATGTAGTTAAAAGAGGACTGTTTTAGTATTTATAACCCTCTGATATTGTTTCCTCAACTTTCATAAAATCATATCAGGAGCAGGCAATAATAATGTAGCTTTTTTGTACTATTTAGCATGTCATTGATCGGTAACCAGTGCAACTTGAATTTAAATCAAATAATTACATTTTAGTGTGTGTCAGTAACTTACAAAAGTAGCTATCATTTTTTTCTATTCCAAATAGTACATGTGGTGCCTTTCTGAAATCGGTATTTCATGAGCAATCTTTTTATTCAATATAATGCAGTTGTAGCCCAGTACCTTTTTGTTTCAACACAGATGGTCAAAGTTGAGGAAAAAGGTTATAATTCCCAAAATAGTCCTTATTTGATCATGGTTCCTTAATATCTTTTAACTGCATTGCATTTGCATATGATAAAGCAACTATCTAGAACTATTATACAGAAAAAATGAACAAAGTATAACCTTATTTGTACATGCAGCTAAAGACCACAGATGAAAAGGTTGGTTTTTTGAAATTTAAGAAAAAATTCAATATCTCAAAAACGGTGGCACGTTTATATACATAGGTAAGTTTTTGTTATTTGGGAGGTCAGTCCAAAGCCTACCTTCTCCTTAAATTTGTCGTGGTGCGTATATGTATTATAAAGACTCTAAATGAAGAACGATCTGTTGGATACATTTTACCGTTGCACAGTATCAGGAATTGAAGCATGAAATAGGTTGGAAGAGGTATTGAGGAGTAATAATTGTTACCCCCTCCACAAGTGCTATGTCAATTGGGTGACTTTTGACACATTTATACAATTTCTGATGCAAAACCATAAATGGTCTGTTAGAAAAAAGGATTTCCACTCCCAGGTATACTGGGTATCAATAAAATATGACGGTTGGCGGATTCCGCTTCCCAGGGATCTACGGGTGTACAAGTTTTATAAAAAAAAAAAGGTATTAAAAATATGTAATCTGAGTTACTTTAGAAGAAGTAATAGACTTACAACATCTACTGCATTGCAGATAAGTCAATATCCTTCCGTATCACACCAACACTGTGAAAAATACTTGCAGTGTTGGTACTTGGTGGAAGGTAAAAATATAGACATATGAAAGCCTTACCGTTAATTCTTGCAAATACTGTGGGTTCATCAAGTTAGGATTAAAAGCATGGCAAAGGAATGCATCGAGTTCATGTCGCCTCATGATCGGCCTGTCCTGTGACATTATGTATCTCAGAACGCACGCCATTATCAACATGTGTTGAGGTACATACGCGGTGTTCAGTATCAGCGGTGTATCCGAATTGAGGCATGATAGTAAAGCTCTCATCCTGAAAGTAAAATAAAACACATTGTAGGACCATGAAGAATTGACACCATACAGTAGTGTACAAAATCCCAGGGTTACCAGAAGGTAAGTCGAGTAAACGGCCGATTTTTAGTATTTCTGCCAAACGCTTTAAAGCTTCATACAAGCTGTCCCGCTATAAATTGATCTCTTGTTTTTCGTATGGGCGTTTATAAAAAAGTTTTAGACAAAAGTTATAGTCTAATATAATTTTTTTTTCGCGTAATGTTATTTTTGTGTAACGAGTATCTCAGAAAAGTCAATTTACATTTTCTAAATAAAAATGGTTTGTTATACTAGTTTCTATTAATTTAGTAAGAAACAAATTTTGTGTATTGATACATATGTTTAAATGACACACAATTTGTTTCTTTTAATAAAGTGAGAAAACAAGTATGATAAACCACATATATTTGGAATCATAAAAAATATACAGGGAAGTCCGTTTAAAAATACAACTTTATGCAAAAAAGCGTTGCGCTATTACGCTCATACAAAGAAGTTAGAGGTCAATTTATAGTGGGAAACCGTTTAAAAATTTAAAACGTCTGGGCGAGGAGGGCAGGAAATGTTTGGCTGTGCTGGATATTACTCCGAAATAATCTTACTTTAACAAGTATACATAAATGCTACATAATGCTTCAGGTTTTGTTATTAAAAAAATAAGGTACGTCTGGCAGCCCCGTGATCGTATAGTGCTTCTGAACAAGCTATATTTTCACTGTCCTGCTATATTACTACTCATGTTTGACATCTCCGACCTGTTTACATGTACTGCAAATCAGATTTTCAAATCATTGGAATCTTTATGTAATTTAAGCTACTGCGACGCGTTTCAACTTTGTCTGTCATCGTGCCTCTTTTTGTAGCATTTCTGATGAAACATTTTGGAATGCATGTGTCTACACACTGCCAAGATGTAGTCGTGATATAGCCGATATAGTCTACATATAACTGATATATCCGAAATATAGCCGGAGCATAAATATTGCTTGATCTGATGCTCCATTACTCTAATGAAGCGCCTAAATGGGCAATATTTTTACTGCATTATCTAGCTTCAGCCAGTAAAATATGGCAATATTTTCAGTCTGGCCAAGCCACATTATTACCAAGCTTCAAATGTTTGACTTTTTAGATCTATTTCCTTAAATTCATGTCAAGTTCTCGAACTATCAAAAGGTAATCCAAGGTCGAATCCATAATCTCGTCTTTGTCTTTTAGGTTTTCGATTTTTCTCTCAATACAATGAAGGCTGTCGCGACACATGCAATTGCCGATTCTGTCGCCCATCTGGTAATAAATTTTATCAAGTGAATGTGCCTACGTATTGCAGGCAATATTGCAGAGACATAGCCTCCATAGTTATAAAAAAGAACTACAAAATCAGCGATCATGCTTCGTCTTCACTGTAGTGCGGTTCTGCCGCTGTAGAATACCGGTTTATTTTGGTAGTTACATTCCATCACAATATCGTTTTTACAGATGAGGCTTCATCTTTAAAGATAAGACATGGTCGACGGTGAAAGTTCAGCACTTTTTCTCCCAAGAATGACTCAGAGGCTCCTCCATCAGTGTTTACGAATATAGTTCTCTGAAAGGTAATAGAACCACTGCCACTTTCTATCAATTATTCTACTCCATCCCTCAAGGCGAGAAGGACGCCAAAATGGAAGCTCTGAAAGACATTCAAGAATCTCTTGAAAGACTATTTAACTGACTATTTCCCTTACAACTTATGATATTACTTAGGAAAATAACTTTTATAGTGTGGGGAAATATTGTGATATATTATTTTTTACTATTTAACTGTTTTTTTGTTAGATATAATTTTTTTGTCAAGGGGAAATAAAATAAGTAATTGGAAGGACCATGTTTAGCAGTGGTAACTGTTCACGGCAGAACTGCAATGGATGCTCGCCTTCAACGATGCTTGAACATCAACTTCTAACATTTTTTACTCTGTAGAAGATTTTTGAATGGATATTTAAATGTCATACCTACGACGTTTGTCGTCTACAGAAGGCCCAAACCACAATCTTTGAAGAGTAGGTACGGCCCATGGAAGGGGCTCTGCCTTCACTTCCTCTGCATACTGATAAGGATTCGATCGACTATAGATCCATTCTTTCACTAAAATATCCGGCTGGGGGACATTTTCTGGTAGCTCTCCAGATTCTATATAAATACAAAGTATATGTTAATAATATAAACGTGAAACGAATCGATTTTACAAATTACTAACATTTCTCATCATTTAAAGAAGAATATTGTTCATCAATTGTCGTATGTCCTTCGACTGACTCATAGTAGTTCAAACTCCATCAAGTGTGGTGAAGATCAAACATGATCCCTTCACCCTGACTATGGTGCTAGAAGTGCTTGCATGCGCTAAACGTCACCATTTTCATAATTACGTTATGACCAGCTATAGCATATTCTATTTTGAGAATTCAAATTATAGATGTGCAGTTTAGCTCCCGCTAGGCGGCGCTAATGTGGCTAGAAGTCAACTGTCAAGAGAAGATGCGAAAGACATTTAATGGAAACGTAACTTATTTTTCACAACGTGACTTCTTGATGTTTATGAAGCATTTGACTTCTGGGTCTGTTTATAATCTTAAACATAATTTCCAACCCAACTGGTGCCACCTACTTCTAGCTTCCAGATTACGACAATTACTGGCGATGGTGAGAATATCATGTTGTCCTTTCACTAACACAGGATTATAAGGTACAGTGATGCATCAACAAAGCTTTGAAAACAATCGAGACAAACTTAAGAAAGCTGGTAAACTGTTGGCAATTTAATACTAGGGTTCACTGCCTATTGGACTGAAATTTGGTTTTACCAAATATTGGCCCAGCTTGGACCATTATGAAGACGACATTAAGATATAGCAAAGATATATTGCACTTTAATTATAAATTTGATTATCTACAGAAACACGAAATAATGAAAAACATTACAACTCACCTTTCTTCTTGGCATGCACATATCTAAGATGGTGAAGGTTGAACAGTACGGCATAGACCCGCTTTCTAAGTGGCCCATATATGTCATGGATTGGTGGGAACTCCCTGTTTCCCTCATCTTCCATGAGACATGGCAAACGCACTTCTTGAGTACTTAGTACGTGTAGGATTGTGGGTGCCATCAAACCTTTTTGATGACGGAGAGAAGCGGTGCGCAGAACATCAGGTGAAACGGAGGGTGTCACTGCATTGTTACTAACTGAAAACAGAATGGGACATATTTGATATTTAGCGTCAAGTCCATTCAAGTCTCAGAAAACTTGTAAAGGACATTATTAGACCGCCAAACGCGTTACGCCCTTAGCATCGGAAAAAACGCATTTTTTGATGTTATACGCACGCGATATACAATGGCTAGGTACGGCCGCCGCCTTACAACCGCGCCAAATATGCTCGGTTTCTATAATGCAATGCGTCAAGTATTTAATGAAATATCTGTACGAACGCCACCCCCCACTTCAATATTCTGCATCCGCCATGTTTGACAGTAGATTCGTCTCTATAACTTGGGTCTACATCAAAACATACGTTCATATGAGATCAAATGATCCAATCAGTGTAACCTACTGTAACATTTGATAAGTACCTATATGACCATACCAAAAACTGACAACCACGTTCTTTGAAAAAGTGTCATAAGAAATTTCAGGATATCCAAAATTAGTTCATTTTAGTTCACACGCCTACTGGCGAGGAAGTACTGTAATCGCGAAAAGAGTCGAAAATGTTTTTATTTATAAGACATGTACAGCACAACTAATTTCATTTGGGGTGTCTGTTCCCTAATCATTGACCCCTCTATATCTTGGAAAGTCTTACTCAGATTTGGATGAAATTTTAACCCAAGGTTACTACTATGCTAAAAGAGCTTTTTAGTCTTTGAAAATCGGTAGTGGCGGCGGAGAAAAATGCTAACAAAGAAAAAAATTGCTCAAATTCTGTATTTTGACGTGTCAGAGGATCCTGATAATTTTTGAAACATTTTTAGGGCGGACTGGGAGGGTGTATCAGTTTTTTGATGTTAGTATATTAACACACTACTAAACCCGGTAATTACAGGCACTTATTAGACATCTTTCAGACATCATAGATTTCCCCGAACATTTGTCCTTAAATCTTAAAAATACCTTCAGCAGATGGATGTCTAACTATCAGTCGCACTTGCGGTGTGCCATGGAGTTGTAAATATTGCATCTTTGGAAAAGGATCCTAGGGACTTATAAAAGTAGGTGACACGATATGCACATACGAGGTATGCGCGATATCATCTATACATACGAGCAATATGCTTGATCAATTGCGTGAGGTGATCAAACAGTTTTACACCAAAGCTTCAAAGAAATGAGACGCCATGTACAGACATGCTCATTGCTGAAATTTGAGAAAAATTGTCTCCACGAAAAGCATAAATATTGCACTAATGGTTCTGACAAAACCTACATCTTTTTGATGTCATTGCATTAAATGGACAATTGTACTGGAATTAGTTTCGAAGGCCATGGAAGTATAGAGTCAATCTACCAGATGCCATTTTTTATCTCAATATGACATAGATAATGACCTCAGATTGATCTCATTCAAGATCAAGTTTATGAAACAAAAACACCCATTTTTCTGCTGTCACAAATGGTGCTTTTTATTTGAATTTTCAAACTTGACCTCCAAATAACTCCCATCTAATATCTGAGATCATCGATAAAGTGCTTTTTGTAGATACAAGTCTTTTTCGAAAAAAATTGATGGTCAAGATTTCTTGGTGCTCGTGTACCTTTCAGATGTTACAGTAGGCGATACTGTTACTTATGGCAACAAAATGTGTGAAAATGCAGTCTGAAGTAGAATATATTCTAAATGTTATGGGCAATCAGATGGCAAGTGTAAAAAGTATAAATCTATATGTATACCTGTTCTCACCATTTTTGAGGCTTATTGAGAAGATAAAACACAGAGTTTGACATAAGGAATGATTAACCTGTCACACACTGTAGGTTAATTTTTCACCAGAGCAAATGAGCAATGGTGGCCTGTATATGCATATATAGAACCACCTAAAAAATGTGACTGCAATGCTTCGAGAATGGTCCAGTTCTCTATGCTTGAAAATCCCACACAAAGATTTTACTTTCCAAATTCCATGTTTATGCAAGAATACCAAACGGATTCACAACTTTCCTTACGAAGACGCGAAGTTTAATAATTATGAAGTATAACGTAACATTGGTCAACTTTTATCCTCAAGAAGACTCACCTCATATTACAGCTAGTATCTCATATGCAAATAGAAACTAATCTGTTATCATAACCGTTATCACATAACCATTACGCGTCGTGCACGCGCAAATTTTTTCAGTTGTGTCCGTTACTATTTTGTCGTTCTAGACAAAACTGTCAATTTTATTTGGTACTTGACAAGTGCCAATTTAGGGTGACCGACAGTAGTATTAAAAACGTTTCCTTTGTAACTGCAAATTTTATTTACCTGATTGTTTTTGTGCTTTCTGTGATCCGGATCCACTGTTGGGGCTATTTTTACTGTTTTCAGAGGTATTGCTGCTGCTGTTACCCACCAACAGGTTTACCCTTTGACCAGAACTGCCAGGTATGCTCTTCACGGAGCCCACTGAACCATTTGAGATGCCATTGAATCTGGACGAATCTGATGACAGAGGTGAATCATCTATAAAAGACAACTTATAGACTGCACTGTACGGTTCGTTTATGCTGATGAATTTACCGCTGTTTATGTTTTTTAACAAGTTTACATCCAGACCATCAAAACTGGTGACCACTGAATGTGCTGTAGCTTGCTTGTAGTTCTGCAGGGTCTCTTGCTGTAATTGGAAATTATGATCAAAGTTAAACACAATTTTGCAATGACATGGATATCAGTACATGCTGGGATGTGTCTTCAGTGGTATTTAGGACATGAAAGATGATTATTATCATTTAAAACCCTGCGTCATGTCTACTTTATACCATTTTCCAGTTCTCCATTGATTTTTTCAAATGCCAATATCAGTGTAGCACAACATCAAAAAAGTGGAGTGGTGAAACATTTCAACTGTAGCTGTAATTATAGGAAATAAGAATGTGGAGAACTCACTTCCTGTTCTGTGGTTTCAGAAGCAAATCCTGAGGTATCTAAATCATGATCATCTGTTTTAACATTAACATTATTAGCAGCATCTTTTTCATTTGAAACAGGTGCCTGTGGTTGCGCCTTATTTTTGTCCTTCTTAGATTTAGCTGAAATAATTTCAAAATAAATTTTATGAGCTTGTACTTTTGCACTCACCATAAAATTAAATCTTTCAAATCTAACTGAAGATATTACCACATACAAAAAGGTAGGTAATACCAATGATTAACATATTCTACCTAAAGAACAACCACGAGTGTATTTCGGCGTGCAAGAAATTATCCGAGATGAAATACTGAGAATTTGTCACAGCTGTTTCTGCCCTTTGCTTCAGCTGGAAATCGTCTTTGAAAAGGCACATCTATGAGACGCGAACATTTTCAAAGTTCACTGTTGTGAAAAATGATCATAGATGACACCATGGTATCTCATTAGGTTAGCATTCTTCAGGTATAATATAGGGTGATTCAAATTGGATTTCCTCATTAAAAGTATTAAAAAAAATAAGTAATTGAAAATTATAAAAAATAAGTATTTGTCCTTTCAGGGTAGTTCATTACAATTATGCATGAAAGATGATATCAAGTAAATGACCGCCGCGACTCATGTGGCATGACGTAATCCGTTTCGAGAAATTTTCGACTACTCTGTGGCACAAATCAGGTCTTATGTTGGTAATTTTGCGACTGATCTCCTGTTTCAATTCCGCAATTGTGTTCGGGTTATTCATGTAGACTTTGCTCTTGAGATACCCCCAAAGAAAATAATATAAGGGAGTTATCACAGGATCGCGGCGGCCAATTAATATCGCCGTTACGTGAAATAACGCGACCTGTAACGCAGTAATTGTATCGTTTCTTCTGATGTGTGACCTGGGCTTCATCTCCTGTGTTATTTGGACTCTGTATGGGTGTAACTTCAAATTTTTGATTAAAATCCGCTGTGGAGTGGAATAGGTAAGGTCCAGTTGCCGCGAATCGATATTCTTGGATTGTCGGCCACACTTTCGGCAACAATAGCAATATTGTGATCCAACCGACCTCTACGAGCATGCCTAGGGGTTTTGATGTTAACGACGGATACAGTTTGCTCGAATTTTTTTGCACCTAATTCCACATTGTTCTCTCACAGGGCCGATTTGTGCGCCAAAAAATTTATGTAAAGCACGAAATGTATGCTTCCTTGATCGGCCGTTTTCATTATAGGCTTGGATAATTTTAACACGTTATTTCATGACTGTTTTGTTTACATTTTGACGTTAGAAATGGCACGTTGTCGTTGACAAATTCAGTAGCGTTTCAAAAAAAAATTATTTGTAATGTGGAAATTCAATTTGAATCACCCATTACATTACACAATGGTATTCCAAAACAACTAGCAGAGATCAAAGTATTTTGAAGATAAGACAATCATATACATGTAAACATAAAAAATGCGGACAATAATAGTCTCACTTCGATCAACTATAAAATCAACATCACTAACAGGATGTCTGTTTAGTAACTATCATGACTGTCAGATGCTACTGTGAATTCCAAATCCTTAATTAATTTTCCTCTGCAACTGTTGAATTTTAAGATTTACCATATTTTGTGTAAATAATGCTTACTTGGTGGCGTGCAATACTTCAAAAATCCGCTAGCGGTCCCATTTAAATAATACTGAACAGATTGACGGAATTTCGAGGCTCTTTTATCTTCAGGAATGCCAAAAACTGCTACAACCAAAGCATCCATATTCGAAGGGGATGGCAAGGTGCCTACATATTCTGCCAGTTTCTTTATGTTACTTTCTGCACTCTGAAAAATCAAAAGTAAGTGTAAGTCATTGGTATTTTTTTTATCACATCACATATTTTTTTAGAATGAAGATGCTAGAATATTTCTTCTTCAATCTGTAACTTTGTTGTAGTATGAATGTTCACTCAATAAATGGAACTATTGGTTTTTCAAGTTATCTATGACTGTACTGTAACTTGAACAACTTACATTTTCTCCTTTGGTTAGACCCAGCTTCTTGTACAGGTCCTGGAGATCACTTTCTGGTAACAAAAAGTTTCCTAACAAAGCAGCCATAATGCATACTTGTTCTTGAGTTACCTTTAACGTCTTTGTAAGCTCGCTTATCATGTACTCTTTGGTTTCAACAGAACCCTACAATAGAACAAATTGTATGTAAAAACAGTACATTTCCATTGAAGTACTTTGGAACAATGCATATAAATAATAGTACTAACTGCCTCTACACTATATACAACTAATCAATATTGTTGTAGTGTAATCATATATTGTTAGTTACTATGCATAACTCTAAATACTTTGTTTTCTTCCAACAATGGATTGTATATTAATGCACCATTCAAATGAAAAATAGATAATTTATTGTGCAGAAAATCTAAGTAAATCATTACAGAATTATGAAATTTAGTTACCTTATATGTGAGCTTCAAATTTTCTGCAGAAAAATACCTAGGCGGGTCAAACGCAGCATATTCTGCATCGTCGGCAAGCAAACCATGAAAACCATATTCTCGACAATAAGCTATAACCTCTTGATGATGATCATCCATGGTACACATCTACAAACACATTTAAACAATACCACATACATTTCAACATAAAATTACTAATTTTTTAGTAGGACTGAACTAAGTATTTCACAGTAACAAAATCTACTATCAAAAGGAATACTCACCACTGTAACACCTAAATGCCTAAGAGCCATCCTTAGTGCTGACCTGAGACATGTTGGTGGAGCCCACCAAATTTTCGGTGGTGGGGTGGCTTTAGTGTTGATATGCTTCAACACCATACCTACGCGCTGTCTGATGTTTGCTTGTTCAGCCACCCATTCATTCATACGACACTGCTCAATAGTGCCATTGAAGACGACTGCCAGTTCAATGTTGCCGCGTTCAATAGCTCTAGTCAGTAATGAAAGGAACTGTACCATACGGTTCCATTGACCCCCACATGCCCAATCTTGAAAAAAAGAGAACAACTTTCATGAGACATGCAATGGTGAAATAATAACTTCTTAAACCACCTTTGCCATCTGTTGTGAGGTGCTACTGTATAAAAAATACATTAAATCCCTCATCTCACCACCCCTCTACCGACAAGCGAATAAGCATATTTTTGAAATGTAGAAAGTGTATACTTTTTTCCCATGACATTTGATCACGTTCTGTTTTGTCCTGCACGCGGATTGCATCTTGAGACGCCCAGAGTAGCGTTTTGAAAAAAAAATGTTTGCCTATTACAAATCAGCTAAGCTAGAGCAGTCCAGGAGTGCAGCACTATTATTCTAAATAGCAGCAACCTTGGGATAGATTTTTCAATTTGACAGCAGTTTCCACTAAACTGTTAGGTTCAATAGTTGTTTATCAAATGATGCAAACTGTTTCATATCTGCTGCTATTGGAAAGCTTCTCTAACTACTAGGTCAAAAGTCAAAATACAGCTAAAATGGTGAACATCTAAAATATGCACAACTTATTGTAAGTTGTTTGATGAACTTTGCATTTTTTTTTGTATTCCTGCAAGAAATATATTCTTTGTATACTTTGAAATAACAATTATTATTGTTATTGAAAACAAAGACACATGTATGTTTCAAATGAAAATATGGAGTATTACAAAGATGGATTTATAAAAAATGAAAGTTCTACAAAGGTAATATCCCAATTATGCAATTGTGGAACACAAGACAACAGCAGTGGCATGGTAGTAGGGTAGATGGTGGGCGCGGGTTCGAATCCTGTGCCGAGAGAATTGCTCTCTGGGCTATGTATGTTGTGATTGTTCATAGGTAGTAGGCAGTCTTTGACTGCAGATCGTGAAGGTACCACCCGGTTCTCTAAGCCAGGGCCAGAATACTAAACTAATGTTGAAAATAATTTGTCTATACGTAGTCGTGCCATAAGTTCTGTCCCATGATAATCTCATGATAAAAATGAAACAAGATAAGATATATTTATATGAAAGATATTATTTATTCGACAACATTTTTAGAATTCATAATCAAACAGTTTTATTCAAAATGTCCCCCTTGGCCTTCACACACTGCTTCAATCTCGCGGGCCACTCATCTATCACTGCACGCACAGCTTCCAAAGGAATAGCTGCCGCTGATCGGATCAAATCCGCTTTCAGGGACTCGATATTATGGTGGGCTTTGGAGCAGGCCAACTGCTCTAGCAGGTCCCACAACTTGTAGTCTAAAGGATTGAGGTCCGGACTCCCTGAGGGCCAATCTTCCGCAGCAATGAACTCTGGCACATTGCTTTCCAGCCAGCGCTGCGTACTCTTAGCCTTGTGAGCTGGGGCGGAATCCTGCTGGTAGACCCAGTGTTGGTTGGCAAACAATGTACCACTTAAAGGCTTGACGATAGGATCCAGTATGTCGCTCTGATAGTTTGCCGCTTTTGTTTTCACGCCCTGTTTACAGAAATGGAGCTGAGTGACCCCTTCGTAGGACACCCCCCACCAAACCATGACTAACGCAGGGTGGTGGCCTCTCTCAACTCTCGGAATGATCTCCGAAGCTTCCTATGAACTCCTTGCATACACTTTGTCATTTTGTCGGTTGAATTTTTCTTCTATGGTGAAGATTTTCTCATCCGTGAACAAAATCTTTCGGAATCCCCCAGCTGCGTACCTCTCCAAGAGCTTCTTGGATCTTGACGCCCTGATGTGTCGCAAGGTGGCCGTAAGTCGCTGGCCCGTACGTCTCCGGTAAGCCCCTAGCCCTAGGTCTTGTTTAATGATGCGCGACATCGTCCGGACAGGAATCTTCATTTCCCTGGATAGGATCTTCTGCTTCCGGAGTGGATTCCTTTGAATCCTGGCTTTTACGGCTTTGATGGCTGCTGGAGTCCTTACTTGACGAGGTCTTCCGCTTCTTGGCCTGTCATCAACAGAGGACGTCTCATTGTACCGCTGAATGGTCCTACACACAAATTTACGCGATATTTGAAGGCCGCGTAAGAGTTCAAAAATCTGACTAGCACTGTGATTACACTTATGTAAAGCTATCACTGCAATACGGTTCTCTGCCTTGCCCCACTCCATCGTTATGCTTCGAGAGATCAATACAAACTGAGGTATATGTAATTACCCGAAAAGCGCTTAATCAACTGACACCACAATGTAAACAATCGGACAAGTATTAACAGGTCTACACTTGTTTGAAAACGCGGGACAGAACTTATGGCATGACTATGTATAGTTTTGTCACTCATAAAAAAGTGCTTAAATTCAGACTTGTGCTCATTGCAGATAATGTAAAAACAAGTTTTTCTACTAATAATGCATTGGCTTATGGAGCAATGAAGTATGAATTCGTTTTCTAAAGCTATTTAGGTAAATATTCATATTTGTCTATATACTTTTGTCCATTACTGAATATCTATTTCTGTTTGGCCCCATGTGCATTTTTTCCAGGAGTTAATTCATGAAGTGTTAGAGTAAAATATTTTTGTAAAATACCAACTATGAACCATCTTCAACTGCAAGGGTATATTCGAGGACTCAGTGCTTTATTTCGTCAAGTGCAAATAGATTCAAAACTAAATACACAACACATGCATATGCCATAACTTAACATATGGAAGTGATTGCATGTTTAATCTGTACATGACAGTGTCATAAGTAATTCTGTACACTTTTTATATGGAAATTTGATTTTCCAAAATACCATTTTACAGCAATACCTTGACATAAAATAACAGCACAAGCAAGTGGCATTGAAGAATAGAACACAAGACACTGCTACTGCTATGGTTTTATTTGACTATTTTTTATACAGGGTGTAAACGTTATGATGACATTATTTAAGTGGGTGATAGAGGGGGTTAAAAGAAGCAAAAAGTTTCATATAACATGGGGATCAGAACAACATTTTTTTAGAGAAAAGTGACTTGAAAGTAAATAAAATCTGACAATGCTGCAATGCCAGACGCAAATTACGACGGAACGCAGTGTAAATAAAGATGGACTTTGTTATTTTTGGCTCTTAGGTTTTATTTCATTATTTGATAATGTACTCGTAAAATGCAAACAATTAAAAAAATGGACTTACCACTAACTGTCTCAGCGCTTCACCTGGTGAATGTAAGTTTATTGAAAAAATTAAAAAAAATCCACTTATAAATAGGGAACACAATTTTGATACATACATTCTTTTCTTTTTAAAACCCACACTGCACTTTTTTGTATTTAAAGAAGGTGTTCAAAATGTCATCCTCCACTTTCCACACAAGCTTCATTACAACCTTCACGAATGGTATGAGGATTTTCTGTAAGTATTATGGAAATTTAATATCCCGTCTCGCGTAAAAGAACATTCGTCCGTCGCTAGAATGTTTTTACTAAAAATCCGAATTTTCAGTCTTTTTGTGCAAAAAACACTGACAGAATGTTAGTCTACGAGGATAGTGTTCTGGTAACAAAGCCTGCACTCGTTGTACATGGTAGGGATAAAGCAAATTTTCCCATAGGATTCTATGGACTATGGTATGCGATAGTCCTACGTGGCGGCCTAATTCCCGAGTGCTGATATCTGCATTGATTTCCACGATATTTAAAATTTGTTCCTCCTGCTCTATAGTAACCTGTCACAAGTGCGAATATTAGTGGGCTGAACACTTCCTGTATCTCGAAGTCTTTGGTACCCTTGCACAAATGTCCTTCTGTCTGGGTGTACCCATTGGCGAAATCTGTCGCGATAAATTTGAGCTGCAAGATTTGAATTCTGACGAGCTTCACTGTAAACTAACAACATGTCGGCGAACTCTTGATTCGATAACATTGTAAATGAAAACGACGACTTATGCGAACAAAAACAAAACCAACATACCAGCCACTGTTACAGTTTGTGATCGATTGCCGGTTCGATAAGAGTGATGATGACCAACGCGCTGTTGTCATGTGTGTTTCAAATACTCAATTTAATGACAATTACTTACTGACTACAAATTTTGGCCTAACTTAGAAAAACTTAATGCCATTTATTTGTTAATTACCCAATTTAAAAACGTTTTAGATTAGATTATAAAAATTAGTAAGATTGTGCTTGATATAAAGCACTTAAAATTGTAAACTATAAAGCTATTTAGACAAAAATCTATTGACTTTTGGACCATGGGTCATATTATGAACTTTTGACTTGTTTTGACCCCCCCCCCCCCCCCCCCTATAACCCATTTTAATAATGATTACCATAACGTTTACACCCTGTATATTCAAGATCATACTTTTAGTTTAATTCTTTTTGTTTATCTATTTTTTACATTTATAAAATTATGGATTTATTAACAGCAATACATATCATTAGTTTATTCATTATCATGTTGTTTTAAAGAATACTGTCTTAGTTTTATCACATATTACCAAAAAAACTTGTTTAATTTATCTTTATTACCCTAAGGCTTGCATCACTATAACATCACTCATTTTGTCCCATTATTTCACGTTGAGGTATTGCTGGAAAGTGGTATTTTGGAAAAACAGATGTTATATGTGCATGACCACCAAATAGAGTGTCTAAAAAGCCTAAAATATTATGTGTTCTAGAAAACCAGAAGAAAATGGCTGATCCTCAAAATTACAAAGGGTAGAGATAAACATTCTCAAAATACTAGGCACTTCAGAAGTGATAAAGAAATATGCCATTTCTGACAATACAAATAACATACTTGGTTACGGCTTTTAAAATGGTCAGCATATTCCAGAACAAATATATCCCCTGGACTTCAAAATTACATAGAAAGGGCTTCTTGATCGAATGAGTTAGTTTCTCATTAACAAGAATGTTGTACAGAATGCTCTAATCCATTGCAAGCACCAAGGTTCAAGATATTGAAGATTAAGACCTACCTGAGAAGTATCCACCATACAATCTGTCCAAGCAGTTTTCAGCATCAATGATGAGTTTCAACTTATTACCTATTGGTCTAATTTTACGATTGGTGTTATGAGGTTGTTGTCTTTGAGTTACATTCCTTGCTATTTTCAACAAATCTACGGATACAGCTCCACCTTCCAAACTGGGACTTTCCAAAAACGTCTGAAGATCGCCGACACCCATTTTTAATAAACTAGCGTTTTATTCCTAATCGAATTAGCAGAATTTGTTCATATTTTATCTGCGGAATAAGAAAAAAATGTTAACTCATGAAATATGCATAGGACCCGGTAAAGATTACCAATTATGAAACAACAGCCGCCATAATGGCGACAAATTGTTGGAAAATTTTAAAAGATTTTGGAAGTGTCGTTAGATTTCAAGGGATGACAATGAGTGAAATTCAATTTAAATCAATTAAGTAAAATACTCTCTATTCGAAAAGATGCATCTCTCTAAAATCGGCTACGGTAATGTGAAATTATTTTCATGTAAATGAGAGGACGCCTTTAATTCCATGTTTGCAAACGCCGGCAAAATATGCACTTGCATTTGGACAGTGCTAGACTGCAACTCGTGGGATAACTGGGAAAACTTCAATGCAATATGCCTTGAGGACGGCATCAAAATGTCTAGAGGAAGAATTAAACGTTTTTACTTACTGAAAATTAAAAAATTGATCATTTTCCAGAACAACACATGAACCAAAAACGAAATATTTACCGGAAACCGCCGACTGCACCTTTCTGCGCATGACGGATGTGTCACTTGTTTTTATCTACTACGTGCTTGAAACTCCGCGCCTCGTCTACTTTCTACAACCTCTTTAGGTAAATTTTGCAAGAAAAATTGTAAATCTCAATAGAATATGTCACTTCTGAGGTTATACATATCTGCTGAATCTGTTTTTTCATATCAACATTAGTCATCAATTAAAAAAAAACTTATTTCAGTGTAACACTGACTGCCTAGTTCAATAAGTGGCCAAGACATGACAAAACAAGTCTTAGGCAACCACAATGACAGGTAGCATAGCTATAATAAGAAATCAACAGATTGGTATATCCCAACGACGATGAAAAGACCTAGACCTTTCTATTTACACTAAAACGCGTTGAAAGGATAAATATTAGGGAATTGCAATGTTGCCAGTTACTAGCTGATAGAATTCCTAACCTGGTAGTAAACAAACCTCAAACAAATATTTCATCGTGTAAACCAGCTATTTGGACTCATGAAAATAATAAAATTGTTAACATTCTTGAAAATCTGCATAAGCAATAGTGAAAAGTAGAAAAGTGAACTATTTTCGTATTGAATTTACCGTTAGCGAATTGGAAAGAGATTTCCTTCAGTCACAGAGCTTCAGTCGACATTGGCAACGTCGCATTTTTCTTATGAATGGACATTTTACGATACTATAAAGTGCGTATTTTATGCTTGAGTTGTGGATTTTCACAAATCATTATTTTTGTGCTATTTGACATAAGTTTGTTAGTGATATTGAACTGTTACCTGTTGAACAATGGTGCGATCGTGTTATGTGTGCAAGATAAACAGCAGTAATCCAGAATCGGCCAATTTATCATTCCATCGGTAAGTAAGGTTATGTTTTCATATCATAGGCGTGGCAATACAAATTTTACTGAAAAAATTATCATAAAACAGTCTTTTACCATCATTTTAGTAACTTTTTGTAGCTTCCTGACGAGTTTATATGAATATATATCCATCACTAGCAGTATGATACAATTTAAAGATGTTCTGGGTGTAGTTCATCAAGTACAAAAATATCCACATACACAATCTTCATGCAACTTAAGTAAACGTGATTTTGCCATGATTTGATTATATTTTTGTGCTAACTAGTTTATAATCATTAGACAGATCATTGGTGTAAGACATGTGTTTACAATTTTAGACTCCCATCTGACCCAGCAAAGCGCATTTTATGGATTTCACTGCTTGGCATTGACTGGGAGAAAACGTTGCCGAAAGTGGCACTGATATGCAGCAAACATTTTCATGATAGGGACTTTGAATATGATTCTGCTGGAAGAAGGCTTTTGAAGGATGGTGCTGAACCAGTAGATGTTCGCTCCATACATGATGAGCAGGAGTATGCAAGGTAAATATGTTTGTTACTTTTTTGAGTTTTTTTGACATGCTATTAATAGCATACAGATACATTTGCCCTATATATTCATATTGATTAATATTTACTCAGCATTTCTATTATCTAAAGTTTGAAGAATTAAAAATGTGTCAAGATTATACTTGTACTTTACTCTAGACTCTAGCCCTGTAAATATTTACTTTGTTATTGTATCCATAAGTATCTTAAACAAACATTATTATTCCAGCTCTGATTCAACAGTGACACTTACTCCATCAAAGGAATCAAGCTCAGAAGCCCATAGCAGTCAAGGGAGCCCTGTCAGAAAGCGGTGAGTAGAGTTCTATACGGACTTGAACTATTCTCATATAATAAGCTTATACTACATATTATTATCAAAATAAACAGATTGGCACAGTAAAATAAGTCAGTGCCTGTGTGCTTCAAGTGTGCTTTAATAAATGCAATTCATACATTCAAGTACATTACCAAACAATTATTGTCAAAACTTATCTAAATAGTATCATGTGTATGTCAAAGGATTTTGGTTGTTTACATGTGTTATGTCCAGTATTTTATGTATACCTTTTATTTTAGATTCAGAATGGAAGAGTTAGCTATACCAGGGCCTTCCCATGTGGTGTGAGTATTCTCTTAATCTAAACCATTTCATTTACTCATGTAGAAAATATTTTAGCTCAAGTCATATTCCTTTTCCTGATGAAGCTTCTAAGATGGTAGAGCCTCCAGAAATTTTGCAGTCATTCACATCATCCAGTACTGCAACTGCTTCTGAACAGGAGTATCAATTGGCAATTAGAGGCAATGTCACCAAACGAAATGTCAGAACACCACGTAAAAGAAGGTATTTGAGGGAGACAAGAACTTGTTTCTTACTAGCTATTTTGTATCAAGATGAAATGATATATAATATTATTTAATGAATAAAGTATATAGTTGACACATTTATCCTTTTCAGGCTAAAACGTTATGTTGGAGATTTATCAAGTGATGACTTTTCCACTCCCAGAAAATCAAAGTCAAATTATCGGTTGATGAAAAGTTCCCTATTGACATTGAGGAAAAAAGTAAAAAGTCTCCAAACAAGTGTTGCTGCTTTGAGGAGAAGAATAAAAACTCTAAGTGGCTTATTGAAACTTTTGAAGCAGAAGAATCACATAACAGATTCAGCTGAAACTGTATTGAAGGTAAGCAGATTGATGAAGACTGTGTGTCCCAGATACCCGAATTCATTTGAATGGAGCAATTGATCAACTTTTTTTTTCAATATAATAATTTTCATTACAACACACACACAACACTCAACATACCATAACTGGTCAGAAGACCAGTTGTCATCTTGCTCATTGAAAATAAGCATTATCATCTTATCACTTTTGCACATATAGCTCCATGATTTTTTTCTTTTAATTATAGCATTTGATATTCTTTTTTTATTCGTATTTTGTTTATTTTGACTAATACTTGTTACAAGTATACATATCGTCATCTAACCACAGCAGGTCATGAGACTGGTTATGGTAGAAATAGAATTGAGTATGGGTATGTTCAGTGTTAATATCTTAGTTTCCTGATGTTATTTATCTTGCATAAATGTAATTAATACTAGTTTTAAAATACTCATTCTGTTCAGATTACATGATTTAATTGCATTCTAAATACTCAATATCTCTTTTAGGCATCTCTTTCTGGTATGCCTTTGGAAATCTTTGAAAGAATGTTGAGGGGGCGTACTAGCCAGAAATATAACCCTGCCTTGCGGTCATTTGCCCTCACGCTGAGCTTTTATTCCCCAAGAGCATACAATTTTGTGAGGAAGACATTTAACCTTGCTCTACCCCATCTGTCAACAATAAGCAAATGGTATAAGTCGATTGATGGTTCACCAGGCTTCACTGAGGAATCCATTGTGGCCTTGAAATTAAAACAAGGAGAAGCTTCAACCAAAAACTCTACTGTTATGTGTAATTTAGTCCTAGATGAGATGTCTATTCGGAAACAAGTTGAATGGACAGGGAGTAAGTTCACGGGGTATGTTGATATTGGGGCTAACATAGAATCAGACGTTCTACCAGAAGCAAAGGAGGTGTTGGTTTTTATGTTAGTATGCTTGAATGGAGCATGGAAAATTCCGGTGGGTTACTTTCTGTTGGATGGCTTGACTGGTTATGAAAAGGCAGAACTCGTGAAAAAATGCCTAACCTTCATCCACACTTCTGGAGTTACTGTAGCATCATTAACATTCGATGGTGCTCCAGTAAATTTCACAATGGCTTCTTGTCTAGGGACAAATCTGAACGATGTAACAAACTTGAAGACTTATTTTCTCCATCCTATAACGCGTCAAAATGTATACATATTCCTAGACCCAAGCCACATGATAAAATTAGTCAGAAACGCTTTTGGTTCCATCAAATACTTAGGTGATTCTGAAAACAATCAGATAAGTTGGGATTATTTGGTGAAGTTAGTTGATGTGCAAAATATCGAAGGTTTACATTTAGGCACAAAAATAAGAAATCGTCATCTACAGTGGACGAGAGAAAAAATGAGGGTCAAAATAGCTACACAAACTTTAAGTAGAAGTGTTGCTGATGCTTTGACCTATTTATCCAAAGATTTAAAACTAGCGACGTTTGCTAATGTGGAAGGTACCGTAAAATTTGTTCAAACATTTAACGATATTTTTGATATTTTCAACTCTAGAAACAGGTTTTCAAAGTACTTATTTAAGCGCCCACTTTCTCCAGCTACTGCAGATACATTTTTCAAATTCATGGACGAGGCAGTTCAATATATCCATGGATTGCGACTAGGTACTCTCCCAATAATATATTCTCCAAAAAAAACTGGTTTTTTAGGATTTTTGATTTGCATTCAGAGCTTGAAACAGTTTTATAACTTGTGTATTGTAGAAAAGAAAGTTTTAAAATATATTTTGACAAATAAATTATCACAGGATCATTTAGAGCTTTTTTTTGGAGCTATTCGTAGTAAGGGAGGGTACAACAATAATCCCAGTGCAAGGCAGTTTGAAGCTGCATACAAACGATTGCTGGTGCATACAGAGATATCTGGCCCAGACACAGGAAATGTTGATAACCCAGAGCGTTTGACTATCTTATCTTGTGGCAGTGGATATCATATAACCAGGGCGGACGATGGTGAAGATCTTTTAAATAGCCCAGAATTACTTCAGTTTGAAGAAAAAATAAAAAACGATCTTGCCCTTTACCAGTGCACACCTTTTGCATGGAATCTTACAATTTATACAGAAGATGTTGTTTCATACATTGCAGGGTTTGTGGTGAATTGTTTAAAAAAATGTGTTACTTGTATAAATTGTAAGAATTCTTTAGAGGGCGATATTGACATGCCATTGCAAAAAAGAAAAGTTTATGGAGAATTGACAAAAGCCTCAGGACCAGTTATTCAAATTTGCCGCCATGGTGAAAAATACTTTCGTTTCTTCCAAAAGACAACTAATATCTTTAACAAAAATATCAAACATCTCTCGGATATTCTAGTCAATAATACCATACAATCAATATCACCACATATTTTGGGGTATTTTGAACACCACCTTCTTGAAGATGACCCTATTGATGGGCACTGCATATTTCTGATAAAACTGATTTTGAAAAAGTATTTCTCACTCAGAATTCATCACGAAACTGTGAAAAAATCGGACAGTTTAAAAAAAAACAG